TCTTTTAATTCACAGTTTCTTATTATCCACATTTTGAAGCCTGCTTCTGTAATTGGAACACACTCGTTCTCCATCAAGCCTTGTTTCGTTGCTGATGAGGAACTGGGATCCCCTGCTGAGGGAGAGGCATTCTGATCTTGGGTATTCTCAGCCTTTTTTGGCTGTTTTCTTCCCTTCGTTGTAGATTTATCCATCTGTAGTCTTTGTATTTACCGTCTTTGTAATTGGGTTTCTGAGTGGACGTCCAACTTATTGATTCTCAGCGCCGAAATCTGAGCAACCCACTGCGCCGACTAAATCAGCAGTGTTAAGATTGATGGTGCCCGAGGCGGTGGATCACGAGGTCGAGAGATCGAGACCATCCTGGTCAACATAGTGAAACCCCGTCTCTACTAAAAATACAAAAAATTAGCTGGGCATGGTGGCGCGTGCCTGTAATCCCAGCTACTCAGGAGGCTGAGGCAGGAGAATTGCCTGAGCCCAGGAGGCGGAGGTTGCGGTGAGCCGAGATCACGCCATTGCACTCCAGCCTGGGTAACAAGAGTGAAACTCCATCTCAAAAAAAAAAAAAAGATTGATGGTGCTTTTCTGACTCTGCACCAAGAACCGATGCTCTGAGGCGCCGGCAAAACCACCTCGCCAGTCACAAGAGTCACGCTGGCGACCCGTGGGGCTCCTCCGCTGGGAATCTCCTGGTGCGTGAGCAACAAGAATTCATGTGAAGGTGTGGCGTCCTCTCGTTCTTTGAGCTTTCACTGGGAGCTACAATCCCGAGCTGCTAGTGATCAGCCATCTTGGATCTCTCTCCCTGTTAGGCCATCTTTTCAGAATAGTTACGATAGAGACAGTGCATAATGATGAGAGTCCATACACCAGGAAGACATAACAGTTGTTTACATGCATGTGCCTCATAACAGAGCTTAAATACATGAAGTGAATGTTGACAAAAATAGACTAAATCAAAATCCCAATTGTGTTGGAGATTATAGCACCCTTTCCTCAGTTATTTATAGAACAAGTAGACAAAAAACTCATTAAGGATATAAAATATTTTGATAATACTGTTGTCACATTTACTTCCTATAGATAGACACTACATACCACAGCTGCAGAATACCCATTCTCTCCAAGTGCCTATGGGATATTTACCACAGTGGATTACTGGGGCCCTCCCTCCCCTACCAGCTTCTCCTCTGCTGTACTAGTCCCACAAAGCCCAGACATTTCAGGAGCTCTGACCTCTCATCTCTACCTTCTCAGCTTAGTAAGTCCACTGCTACACTCTCATTTGCCTCTACTTTTCTGGGCCATGTTCTAGAAAGTGCCCAAGCCAAAAAGCTGGGGCAAATATAGGTCTCTCTGGTGTTCCTCCTCTCTCAAGAATCATTCACGGTGCTGGACTTCCTAATGCTTAATATCTGAAATGGCTTCACATATTTTTTTCCAGTTTTAGTGGGAGAGTGTGCTCATGTGAAATAAGTCCAAATAAATTTCAAAAAATTGAAATCACATGAATTATGATCTCTGACTACAATGGAATTAAATTAGAAATTGATTACAATAAGATGTCTAGAAAATTGACAAATATTTGAGAGTTAAACAACATACTTCCAAATAACTCATGGTCAAAGAAAAAGTGGAGGCCAGGCATGGTGGCTTACGCCTGTGATCCCAGCACTTTGGGAGGCCAAGGCGAGTAGATCACGGGGTCAAGAGATCAAGACCATCTTGGCCAACATGGTGAAACCCGTCTCTACTGAAAACAGAAAGCTGTGCATAGTGTTGCGTACCTGTAGTCCCAGCTACTCGGGAGGCTGAAGCAGGGGAATCGCTTGAACCCAGGCAGCAAATGTTGCAGTGAGCCAAGATCATGCCACTGCACTCCAGCCTGGCGACAGAGTGAGACTACATCTCAAAAAAAAAAAGTGGAAAATATTTTTAACTAAATGATGATGAAAGTACAACATATCAAAAATTTTCAGATGCTACTGAGGCAGTGTTGTTTAGAGGGAAATATATAGCTTTTTAAAACTTACATTTGAAAAGAAAAGGGGGCTCAGAATTACCTGTTTCCAATTGAAAAGACAGGAGAAAAGGAGAAAATTAAACCTAGATTATGTAGAAGAGAAAAAATGAAAAATTTAGGGAGAGAAAATAATGTAATAAGAAGCAAAAAGAAAATTGAGAAAAGTCAAAATGCTAAAAAGCAAAAAGTTATTTTAAAAGATTAGTAAAATTGATAGATTACATTGATAAACTATTAAATGACAAAACATTAATTGCAAGACCATTAAAGAAAAAAAGAAAATTTACTATCATTAGTAAGGAAGTAACTGCTATAGTTACGGAATCTAGACTTATAAAAAGGATAATAATTAAATAGCATATATAAATAAACTGGACAATTTAGGTAAAATGGACTTATTTCTTAAAAAATACAACTTACCAAAACTTACAAAATGAAACAGAAAAATCTGAATAACCATATATCTATTCATGAAATTGAATTTGCAATCAAAAGCATTCCCAAAAAGAACTCCAGATTCTATCAAACAATGAAGAAGAAAATAATCTCGATCTTTCAGAAAATAGAGAAGGAAGCACTTCCCAACTATTTTTAGGGCAGCAAAACCCAAATACCAAAACCTGGAAAAGGTATGACAACAGGAAATTACAGACTAATGTTCCTCATGGGCACAGACATAAAAATCTTTGACCAAACACAGGTTGGGGAGTGGACTTATCTGGAGGTTCCAGTATGGCTTTGTTCATATGTCTGTGCCTTGGCATAGATTCAGCCTGGTTTCAAGGTAGTGAGGCATCTTGAAACCAGGCTGGTGGCTTGGAGCTCCCAAAGAAATCAAGATACCTGGACCCTTTTCACAAGATGGTGCCAAAAGCAAAGAAGGAAGCTCCTGCCCCTCATAAAGCCGAAACCAAAGTGAAGGCTTTAAATGCCAAGAAGGCAGTGTTAAAATGTGTCCACAGCCACAAAAAAAAAAAAAAAAAAAAAAAAAGGAGATCCACAGGTCACCCACCTTCCGGCAGCCCACAACACTGCAACTCTGAGGCAGCCCAAATATCCTCAGAAGAGCACCCCCGGGAGAACAAGCTTGACCGCTATGCTATCATCAAGTTTCCGTCTACCATGGAGAAGACAGAAGACAACAACACACCTGGGTTTGTTGTGGATGTTAAAGCCAACAAGCACTAGATCAAACAGGCTGTGAGGAAGCTCTGTGACACTGACGTGGCCAAGGTGGACACCCCAATACGGCCTGATGGAGAGAAGAAGGCGTAAATTCAACTGGCTCCTGATTATAATGCTTTGAATGTTGCCAACAAAATTGGGATCATCTAAATTGAGTCCAGCTGGCTAATTCTAAATATATGTATATCGTTTCACCTTAAAAAAAAAATCAAGATACCTGAAGCCTTCTACCCAACCTCTATCACTTGTGTTGCATCCTCTTGCTCAAGCAACACACTAAGGCCAGCCCAGAAAAAAGGAAATTAAAGGCCACCTCTCAGTGGGGAAAGTAGCCAAGAATTTGCAGCTATCTTTTATTTACTATATTATCCAAGATATGAAAGCGTATGTCCAGACACAGGACACGTAGAAGAACATTTATAGCCGCTTTATTCATAGGCATCCTTACACAGGAACAATCCAAATGTCTGTCAACAGGAGAATAAATATATTCCTTTTGTTGAATGCCACTATGCAATGAACAAGAATGAGCTAATGCATGTAACAACATGGCTGAACCTCAAAAACATGTTGCATGGATGAAGCAAGCAATGAAAAGACCATATGATTCCATTTACATGAAAAGGAAGAAGAAAAACTATTCTAAAATACAGGACATTTGGTTGTCTGAGAGCAAAAGAGGGACTCATCAAAGGGGACATGGGGCATTTCTAGGGTGATGGAATGTTCTGTGTCTTGATTAGGATGAGATTACACATTTGTCAAAAACTCATCAAACTGTACAATTAAGAACAAGATACTTTACATAAATTTTGCCTCAATTTTTTAAAAGGGATACTCTTTTCTTGTTGGCTAGACAGTAGCAATAGCATGAGTACAATTTCAGTACCTGGAAACTGAGTGAAGAGCAAGATAGTGAACATACTGAGGCTATGACTGTTGATCATACTCAGTAAATAGTATTTGCCAAATATTTAACACAGGCTGGCTACTTTGCTAGGTGTCTTTACATTTTTCTCAATCCTTACAACAACCTTTTGAATTAAGTAGTATCTGTCTTGCAGGTGAGGAAAGATTTGGAAAGGTGAAATAAGTAGCTCAAAGTCACAAAACTTGTAAGTGAGAGTCTAGACTGAAACCCAGCCATGATTAGTTTGTAACCATTGTCTGCCCACAGGGACACACACAAAACCCTAAAGACCTTGTATAGGCATCTGGCATGTGTCTCTGGTTTCTTAAAAGCTGGACACTAGGTTGTGAAAGAATAGAAACCTTCATTGTAGAAGATTATGATGGATTTCTTAATATCACACAAAAAGCCACAATTCATTTAATTCCAAAAAAAATGGAAAGCCTGTTTGAGAAAGGTTTCAACATTAGCAGACTAGTAAGAATTAGTTCCTTTCCTCACCTAGATAACAATTTAAATCACTCTCTCTGGAGGTGGAAGGCCTGAGCTTGACTCCTGGCTCTGCTACTTTTGGCTGTGTGGCCTCAGGGAAGTTTCTTAACTTCTCAGCACAGTCCTTAAAGAGCTGTTGAAAGCATCCACAGAGTTAATAGGTAAAAGAGCTGTGAAGGGCCCCTGACATTTAGTAAGTGTTCCAAAAGTTGTTTGCTTTTTCTACTCAGGGCATTTCTTGTAACTGACTTAAAAACAAAAATGAGTCAATCATTACCTTGCCAATGTGACACTGTAGATGTGTTTTCGGTTAATCCTTACCGGAAACTTCAAGTAAATGCTATTACCCCCACTGTTCAAGTTCATATAGTTATAAAGCTAGTGACAAAGCTGATATTTGAACAAATATCTTCTTGACTCCAAAGCCTATGCTTTTTCCCAGTAGAGAGCCAAGGGCAGTGATAGAAGGGATTCACTTTACACCCTTCAGGAGTAAAACCAGTTCTTTTCTTCCAGGTTTGAATCTCTATTTACTGACTTGGAACTGAGGCCGGTAGAGCTGGGCATCTCCAGCTTTGGGGCTTCTGTCACCACCATGGAGGATGTCTTCATAAGGTGAGCACATATAAAACTGTAAGACTCTGAGATTCTTAGGGTCAGAAGGGATTTTAAAGGTCATCTCTCTAAACATTGCTCAATGCTTGTATCTTTTCTGTAGCAACCTCACTGAATGGCCTTCCAGCCTCTGACTTTTACTTCCAGTAAGAGGGATACCTGAATCTCGGCTCACTGCAACCTCTGCATCCTGGGTTCAAGCAATTCTCCTGCCTCAGACACCCGAGTAGCTGGGATTACGGGCACCTGGCACCACACCGGACTAATTTTTGTATATTTAGTAGAGACGAGGTTTCACCATGTTGTCCAGGCTAGTCTCAAATTCCCAACCTCAAGCCATCTGCCTTCCTCGGGCAACAGATATATTGGTGAATAATATCATTCAACCATCATAATCTTAGCAGAAATGTCTAGGAATGAAAAACAGAAAAAGATATTGTATCATTTGAGATGGTTTAGCCTGCAAATAACAGATAATTCCAACTCAGCAGGTTTAAATAATAAAGAAGATTTATTATTTTATTTAAAAAGAATTCCCCAGATGGGGCAGCTCAAGGGTTTGCAGATTCATCCACCAAATAGTCTTAGTGTCATGAAGCAGGCACGCAGGCTCAATTCTAGGACAGCTTTGATGGAACACTGAAGGTATACTACCTGGGAGGCTGCACCTGGCTAGAGAATGGTGATGAGAAAAGGTATTTTATTCAGTAGGGCAATCTTTGTCTTTTAACTGGAACACCTAGTCTATTTACAAGTATTTATAATACATTCAAATTTATATCTGTTACTTTATTTGATATTTTCTACCAGTCTTTCTAGTCTATGTAAATTCAAACAACAAAAAAAAATTTTTGGAGACAGAGTCTCACTCTGTTGTCCAAAGCGAAGTGCAGTGGTGAGATCTCAGCTCACTATAACCTCTGCCTCTTGGGTTCAGGTGATTATTCTGCCTCAGCCTCCTGAGTAGCTGGAACTACAGGTATGTGCCACCATGCCTGCCTAATTTTTATTTATTTATTTATTTTTACGTATTTATTTATTTTTGAGACGAAGTATTCCTCTGTCACCCAGGCTGGAATGCAGTAGAGCCATCTCAGCTCACTGCAGCCTCTGCATCCCAGGTTCAAGCAATTCTCCTGCCTCAGCTTCCCGAGTAGCTGGAACCACAGGTGCCTGGCACCACATCTGACTACTTTTTATATTTTTAGTAGAGACGATGTTTCACCATTTTGGCCAGGCTGGTCTCAAACTCCCAGCCTGTGATTTGACCTCAAGTGATGTGCCTGCCTTGACCTCCCAAAGTGCCTGTGATTACAGGTAATTTTTGTATTCTTAGTAGAGATGGGGATTCTCCGTGTTGACCAGGCTGGTCTTGAGCTCCTGACCTCTAGTGATCCACCCACCTCAGCCTCCCAAAGTGCTGGGATTGCAGGCATGAGCCATTGTACCTGGACTTTAAACAAATTTTATTGGTACATAATGTGCGTATGTATGGAATACATGTGATATTTTGATACATGCATATTTAACTTGAGATTTGATTGATGTCTGCCTGTAGACATCTTCCATGAGTTTAGACTCCCCAGCCGGGTGCAGTGGCTCATGTCTCTAATCCCAGCACTTTGAGAGGCCGAGGCGAATGGATCACGAGGTCAGGAGCTTGAGATCAGCCTGACCAACATGGTGGAACCCCATCTCTACTAAAAATACAAAAATTAGCTGGGCATGGTGTCGTACACCTGTAATCCCAGCTACTTGGGAGGCTGAGGCAGGAGAATCACTTGAACCCAAGAGGTGGAGGTTGTGGGGAGCTGAGAGTGTGGCACTGCACTCCAGCCTGGGTGACAGAGCAAGTCTCAAAACACAAAGAATCCCCGGCTATTATCATCTGTTCATACAGGGCCTCTGCTCAAATATCTCCTCTCGTTCTGGAACTCCAATTAGACATATTAGATCTGATCACCCTACTATGTGAACTTGAACATTTTTTTGTTTTGTTTTGAGATGGAGTCTCACACCATTGCCCAGGCTGGAGTGCAGTGGTGAAATCTCCGCTCATGGCAACCTCCACTTCCCAGATTCAAGTGATTCTCCTGCCTCAGCCTCTCAAGTAGCTGGGATTACAGGACCTGCTACCACACCCCACTAATTTTTTGTATTTTTAGTAGAGATGGGGTTTCACTATGTCGGTCAAGCTAGTCTTGAACTCCTAACCTCGTGATCCACCTGCCACGGCCTCCAAAAGTGCTGGGATTACAGTCGTGAGCCACCATGCCCAGCTGAATTTTAACTTTTTAAATATTTTCCAACTCTTTGTCTCTCTTAAGTTGCATTCTACATAATATCTCCTGATCCACATCCATGTCTTTGATTTTCTCTGCAGGTGTTTCTGATCTTCAGCTAAATACTTCCATTGAGAGTATTTTAGGGTTTTTTTTTTTTTTGGTTGTTTTTTTGTAGAGACGAGGTCTCATTATGACCTCGAACTCCTAGGCTCAAGTGATCTCCTGCCTTAGTCTCCCAAAGTGCTGGGATTACAGGCATGAGCCACTGGACACAGCTAGTTTTAAAAATGCTTACATTTTTATTGAAGTATAACATACATACCAAAAGGTGTGCAATCATTAAACCTGCAGCTCAGTTTTCATTTTTGAGTTTTTGAAATTTTGTTGTTTTTGTTATTTTGAGACAGAACCTTGTTCTGTTGCCCAGGCTGGAGTGCAGTGGTGCGATCTTGGCTCACTGCAACCTCTGCCTTCCAGGTTCAAGCAATTCTCCTGCCTCAACCTCCCAAGTAACTGGGATTACAGGCATGTGCCACCATGCCCAGCTAATTTCTGTATCTTTAGTAGAGAAGGGGTTTCACCATGTTGGCCAGGCTGGTCCTTAACTCCTGACCTCAGGTGATCCGCCCACCTTGGCCTCCCAAAATAGTAGGATTACAGGCATGAGCCACTGTGCTGGGCCAAGTTGTTGAAATTTTTATATATTCTAGATACAATTATTTTGTCAGATATGTGTTTTATCTACATTTTCTTCCATTATGTGGCTTGCTTCTTCATATTCTTAGGGGTAGCTTTTTTTTTTTTTAAGGCAGCATATCACTCTGTCACCCAGGCTGGAGTGCAGTGGCACAATCTTGGCTCACCGTGACCTCCACTGACTGGCCTGGGTTCCAGTGATTCTCCTGTCTCAGCCTCCCACATAGTTGAGATTACAGACATGTGCTACCATGCCTGGCTAATTTTTTTGTTTTTAGTAAAGACAGAGTTTCATCATGTTGGTCAGGCTGGTCTCAAACTCCTGACCTCAAGTGACCCACCTGCCTTGGCCTCTGGGATTACAGGCATGAACCACCGCACCCAGCTTAGTGGTAGCTTTTGATTAGAAGTTTTTCATTTTTATAAAGCCTAATTTCTAAATTTTTTTTTTTTTGAGATGGAGTCTCAATCTGTTGCCAGGCTGGAATGCAGTGGCATAATCTCGGCTCACTGCAACCTCCGTCTCCTGGGTTCAAGGATTTCCCCTGCCTTAGCTTCCAGAGTAGCTGGGACTACAGGTTCGAGCCACCACACCCGGTTAATTTTTGTATTTTAGTGGAGATGGGGTTTCACCATCTTGGCCAGGCTGGTCTCAAACTCCTGACTTCAGGTGATCCGCCGGCCTCGGCCTCCCAAAGTGCTACAATTACAGATGTGAACCACCATGCTCAGCCCCTAAAATTTTTTTGTTACTGTGTTCCGTATTCTTTCTAAAAAATATGCCCCTACTCTTAGATCACAAAGTTATGCTCCTGCCTTTTATTCAAGGAATTGTATCATTTTAGCTTTTACATAGTCCTGTAACACATTTTCTATTAATTTTTGTGTATGGCTGTGTGTGTGTGTGTGCGTGTGTGCGCATGTGCGTGCGTGCACATGCAAGACAAGATCTCACTCTGTCACCCAGGCTGGAGTGCAGTGGTGTGATCACAGCTCACTGCAGCCTCCACCTCCTAGGCTTAAGCGTTCCTCCCACCTCAGCTTCCCAAGTAGCTGGGACTGCAGGCACACACCACCACCCCCAGCTAAGTTTTTTATATTTTGTAGAGACAGGGTCTTGCTATATTGCCCAGGCTGATCTGGAACTCCCGGGCTCAAACAACCTTCTCACCTTGGCTTTCCAAGTGTTGGGATTATAGGCATGAGCCACGGTGCCTAGACTTGTGTACAGTTTGATAAGAGGTTAAGTGGAAAAACATACACTGTTGTTTTTTCTGCTCTCACATCACAGCAGTCAACACAGAAGACTCCTGTGATAAAATGTGTGGGAATTTTCCCCCAACAACAAGCAAGCAATCAGTTCTGCAGCAGACACCAGCTGCATGTCTTCCAACTCAGTTCTCAAGTATTTGGAGACAGCATTGGACCCCACAGATTGAAGGCTAAATCTCACAAGACTTCCCACTTGCAGTGTCAGTCACAAGCCCTGGATTGTTTTACCCATCCCCCCCGCTTTTTTTTTTTTCCAATTGAGGAGGCCGCTAGTCTCTGTCTTTTGAGCTGGGCTTAAGTGATCCTCCTGCCTCAGCCTCCTGAGTTGCTGGGATTACAGGTGTTAGCTATTACACACTTTCTGTGCTTCTGACTGACCAGCTGTAAACTAGGGATCCTACTACCCCCTCCTTAGGTTCCATTAATTTGCTAAAGTGGCTCACAGAACTCAGGGAAACACACTCCCAGTTTATTATAAGGATATTACAAAGAATACAGAAGAAGAGACCCATAGGGGGAGGTATATGGGAAGGGGCATGAAGCCTCTGTGGCCTCCCCGGGTGTGACACCCTCCAGGAACCTCCAATTGTTCACCTATCTGGAAGCTCCTCTTGGGCCTTTTATGGAGACTTCATTGGATAGGCATGACTAAAGCATGGACAATAGTGTAGAAATAAGACTGGTCAAAAAGAGTACTGTGTAATACTAACAGTCTGGGTGGGGAAACCCAGCAAGGCCTGTTTGTTCAGATCCTTCCTGGCCTCTCTGTGCAGTATTCCTTCCCCCAGGGTATGGGATAGTACACCTTCTAAAATGGTGGGGTGGGGGTGGGGGTCTCATGACCTGCAATCAGACAAGATAATTCTTTATGGCCAGCTCCAAGACAGAAAGATGGGGGAAGATTATATTTTTAGTTTCTGTGACCTGCCTTGGGGAGAAATAATAGCTATGGGAGTTATTAGCCGGGAACTATGAAAGAAAACATTTTTTATTGACCCCTGTGATAGAATGATGTCACCACCTCAACCCCTGTGATCTGTTGTTTTATCACAGGGGTTGAGGGTCATTTTCTTCCACATAAGTATCCAGATGAGACAGACTATTTGTTGCAAAGACTTTTTTTTTCCACATTGGGTTGTTCAGATGCCTTCACCAAAAATCAGTTGACTGTACGTCTCTACATTCCCTCTTCTGTTTCATTGCTCTGTTTGTCTCTCCTGTGCCAGTGCTATACTGTTGAGATTTCTGTAGCTTTGTAGTATGTCTTGAAGTCAGGTAGTATATAGTTCTTCCAGCTTTGCTCTATTTCTCGAAGATTGTTTTGGATACTGTAGATCCTTCACATTATCATGTAAATTTTTAAAATAAACGTTCTATTTCTTTCTTAAAAAAAAAAAAAAAAAGAACCTGTTGGAAATGCTAGGTGAGTTGTAACAATGTACCACACTAATGTTAAATGTTAACAATGCAAAATGTTAAAAATAGAGAAATGGGGGTGGGAGGAGATGGGTATATAGGAAACTCTGAACTTTCTGCTCAAGGAAGTAGATGCCCCAGCCCCAGCTTGACTGCAACCTCATGAGAAATCTTAATACAGAACCACCTAGCTAAGCCACTCTCAAGTTTCTGACTCCCAGAAACTGTGTGAGATAATAAATATTTTCCATTGTTTTAAGCTGCTAACTTTTCGGATAATCTGTGTCACAGCATTGGATAACAAACATACCAACTTTTACAGAACCATACTGAAGGAAAATAGTTAATATCCTGGATTATTTTGCTGTGACAAATTCCTAGTAGAATGATAGCCCAAAGCCTATGACTAGAAGTAGTTTCCTGGTACATTGACACTTTGCTGCCAACTGAACACATCGTTTTGCCTAGAGCAGGGGTCAGCAGACTTTTTTCGGGCGTGGTGGCTTACACCTGTCATCCCAGGACTTTGGGAGGCCGAGATAGGCGGATCACAAGGTCAAGAGATCCAAGACCATCCTGGTCAACATAGTGAAACTCCATTTCTACTAAAAGTACACAAATTAGCTGGGCATGGTGGCACGCACATGTAGTCCCAGCTGCTCAGGAGGCTGAGGCAGGAGAATCGGTTGAACCTGGGAGGCGGAGGTTGCAGTGAGCTGAGATTGCGCCACTGAACTCCAGCTTGGTGATAGAGCGAAACAAAACAAACAAACAAACAAAAAACAAAGGTTGAGAGAGCACATAGTAAGTATTTTATGCTATGTAGGTTTAGCAGCATAATCAAGGATATTATATAAGTAATTATTTAACTATCTAAAGTTAACTATAACCATTGAAAATATAAAGTTCCAGCCTGGCTACAGTGGCTCACGCCTGTAGTCCTAGCTACTTGGGAGGCTGAGGCAAGAGGATCCCTTGAGCCCAGGAATTTGAAGCAGCCGTGAGCTGTGGTCACCACTGAAACGCAGCCTGGGCAACAAAGTGAGATCCAGTCTCTATTTTTTTTAAGAGTGTGTGTGTGTACACACACACAATATATAATATATACATACATATGATCATATATACACCATAAATGTATATATAGTATCTATATACACACAAGTGCATATATATGTAGCATGTATATATAATGTGTGTATATATACACATATTAGTATATATAGTTTACATACATTTAGTAATGTAGTTTACATACATTTACATACATACACACACTAAATGTATGTAAACTATATACTAATATGTGTGTGTATATATATATATATACACACATATATATTAGCTTATGTATACTATATATAATGTACATACATACACACACACATTGGTTAGTTAAGACTGTACTGGCCAGTTTATAGCCAGTATATACTATACACACACACACACACACACACACACACATATATATATTTATATATGTGTGTTTCAATGTTTATGGTTATGTTAGATGGTTATATAATACTATGATATCCTTGATTATGCTGTTAAACCTAGATAGTATAAATATAATATATATATATATATATATGGATCAGAATGAAGCATCTTTCATTCTGAACTCAGAATCCCTTGGGCTGGATATGGCCCCCTGGCCTATCCGTTGATTGTTTACCAACCTGTGGCCTAGAGTCTCAGCAGGGCTGTGTTTTATAATTTTCAGTTTTGCTAATGAAATAGAGATTAAATGACACATCATTTTGTTTTAATTTGTATGTAGACTCTTTTAGGGAAAATGACAAAAATCCATTCATACTAGCGTTACCTTAGTTATTTGGAAAGTTATTGGTTCGTTAACTCAGTACTTAGGACTTATTAAGACCTTGCTAGCCTGTTTATAGCCAGTATCTGCCTGCTACCCATTATGTATAATCTAGATGCAGCTTTTTTTTCTTTATTCTTATCTTATTTTTTTTCAAATACCATATTACTTTCATTCTTCAAATTCAAACGAAATGTGCTGTGGTTTTGAGAATTTCTTTTTGTTTTTGCTTTTGGTTTGGTTTAGGGTTTGTATGTTGGCAGATGCCAGTACAGCTATCCCAAACATCAAACGTCCCTCTATCCATCCCCAGCCCCTGCTTAGCAGAATTCCTGTTGACAGAATTAAACATCTTCATTCAAGGATCTTCTCAGTACAGACTGGGCTGCCAATCAAACCAAACACTGGGGTAAGTCACACATTCCAAATGCATGCAGGAAAACACATATTGGTTTAATTCTTGGAAATACACTCTCTTTCTGTCAATAAGTTACGTCAGCCTTTTACAGAGGCCTAAGAAAAAATATGCACATTTTAGGTATAAAAGATTGGCCGTGCCAGTTTGAGCACTATCACAGTCTCTGCTGTAGTTCAAAGGCAAAGGGTGATGGTCTGGACAGGATTAACCCAGTATAGGAAAGGATCATAAAAGATTATAATAGAGATTTTGGCCATTCCTCTGACCAGGAAGAAGACAGAATAAAAGTACAAATCTGCTGGCCAAAAAGCGTATCTCTTTCACTATGAAATTAATCATGTATCGCTTGGAATTTAAAATTTTTAAAAATATACCTTTATTAAATGTATGGACAATCTGTAATGTTCCTTTAATGTTGAAAAAAGGATATTGGGCTGGGCATGGTGGCTCACACCTGTAATCCCAGCACTTTGGGAGGCTAAGGTGAGTGGATCACCTGAGGTCAGGAATGCAAGACCAGCCTGACTAACATGGTGAAACCCTGTGTAAACAAAAAACAAATAAATAAATAGCTGGGCATGGTGGTGGGTGCCTGTAATCCCAGCTGCTCAGGAGGCTGAGGCAGGAGAATCACTTGAACCCGGGAGGCGGAGGCCGCAGCAACAGTGAGCAGAGGCTCCAGCCTGGGCGACAAGAGCAAGACTCTGTCTCAAAAAAAAGAAAAAAGATTATTTGATGTGCATTTTATGAAGTGTTCTTGATTAACTATACACAAGTATTAATGTAAAATAAAACTGACTTTCTTGGATTAGTCAAGAGAGTAACTTATTGTTTCATAACCTTGAATCACACAATTATAGGGAAGCTGTCATCCACTGACCCTCCAAGTTGGGAAAGGTCTGGGGGTCAACTAGGTCAGCCATCTGTCTCACACAGGAGGCAAAACAAGACCCCATCTCTGAAAAAGCTAAAAAATTAGCCAGGCATGGTGGTGCACACCTGTAGTCCCAGCTACTAGGGAGGCTGAGGCAGAAGGATCGCTTGAGCCCAGGAGGTCAAGGCTGCGGTGAACCAAGATCACACCACTGCCCTCCAGCCTGGGTGACAGAGTGAGACCCCATCTCAAAAAAGAAAAAAAAAATCTTAAATTCAAAGAGTTTTAACTTGAAGCAAATTTTGAACATATTGAAAAGTTAGTTATACGTAGTATTAGGGAGTGCAAGTGGGCAGGAGCCAGGGGCCACTTCAGTGCCTCCAGCTTCTATTTGTGATCATGTTAATGCTGTGTTTCTCTTTTATTTTTTTTTAATTGTAGTTCAGTCTTCTCTGCCAACAATTTTATGCCATGCTCCTGAAAAAGGCCACATATTCTTGGCACAACTGGATGTTGATGTTATCAATACAGATCGTGGTCCCTCTGGTGATCACCATGTTAAGCCTCATGTTCTTCGACTTCAAAGAAAGAATCACGGAAAATGTCCCAGTGGAGCTGACTCGGAAAACATATGGTCAGACCATTGTTCCTTTCTTTATTTCTCGGAATTCCAGGCTGGATCCTCAACTTTCAGAACGCTTTGCAAATACGCTTACAGCTGAGGGACAGATTCCTCTGGAGGTTCTGGGTAAGTACCAGGCCCAGGAAAATGAGGCATGAAACCACCCTATTGTTGTTTTTATTGAAGCCATGTGCTGCTGGGCCACATGGTGCTCTCTGACGTTAGAAATAAATAGAAATCTCAGAAAACCATATCTCAAACCCCAAATGACAGGAAAGGTAGAGTCCCTAGAAATAAGACCAAGTATGTGCCTTTCTAGGAATGAAAGCATACCCCAAAATAAAATTGTGGGGTTTGTGTCTTTGTGTGTGTGTGTGTGTGTGTGTGTGAGAGAGAGAGAGAGAGAGAGAACGAGATGGAGTCTTGCTGCAATACCCAGGCTGGAGTGCAATGGTGTGATCTCGGCTCACTGCAACCTCTGCTTCCTGAGTTCAAGCAGTTCTTCTGCCTCAGCCTCCCAAGTAGCTAGTACTACAGGTGGCCAACACCACACCCAACTAATTTTTGTATTTTTAGTACACATGAGATTTCACTATATTGACCAGGCTGGTCTTGAACTCCTAATCTCAGGTGATCCGCCCACCGTGGCCTTCCAAAGTGCTGGGATTTCAGGCATGAGCCACTGTGCCTGGCCTCCCAAAATAAAATTGATAAACTATTCAACATGTTTGAATTGTATTGAAAGGAGAACTACGATTCTTCTTTTTTTTTTTTTTTTTTTTTTTAAGGTGGTGTCTTGCTCCATTGCCCAGGCTGGAGTGCAGTGGCACCATCTCAGCTCACTGCAACCTACGCCTCCCAGGTTCAATGGCGCGATCTCGGCTCACCGCAACCTCCGCCTCCTGGCTTCAGGCAATCCTCCTGCCTCAGCCTCCCAAGTAGCTGGGATTACAGGCACGTGCCACCATGTCCAGCTAAATTTTGTGTTTTCAGTAGAAATGGGGTTTCACCATATTGACCAGGCTGGTCTTGAACTCCTGACCTCATGATTCACCCATCTCAGCCTCCCAAAGTGCTGGGATTACAGTGTGAGCCACCATGACTGGATGAGATCTCTACTTCTGTCCAGAGAGTTTATGCATGAAATGGTGACAGACATAAAGAAAATTAGGCAAATGAGAAAAGGAGAACATTATTAATTTCAAGGGGAAAGTTGTACAACAAAACATACTACTTGCTTCAGTTGTAAATAATTTTTACTTAGTCATAATGTCAAAACTGACTATTGTTTTAGCCAAAATTATGATGTAACTCTAGTGAGAGGAAGGTAAGGGGAAATCTGTAGGGTTGTAAGAGAGGATGGTTGTAAGAGAACAAAATCCTTGCTTCCATCTTGAGACATCATCAGCTAAATGTGCTGTTTAACAACGTGGAGAAACAGCCGGTAAAAGATGTGAATAGGCATTGGGGAGGGTCAGGGCTACGAAAGAGCACAGCTGTTTCTTGTAGAACTATTTGAATTTAAAAAATATATTCATGTATTATTTTGATTAACATTTTAAAATAATTACTTTTTTAAAATAAAGATTTCAAGTGCAGAACACAATGTGACAAAATGGTTGTCATCATAACACCCTGCCTCTCTAGGCCCTGGTTTCTTCATATTCCAAATGGGGAGAGTGACAGACCTCACCTCGCAGTATCATTGGGTGATTTCCTGAGTGTTTGTCAAGCGCTTTGCACAGGTGCATCATGTGAGCACTCAGCCAGTGGTGCTGGTGCTATTGTTTTTGTCATTATGATTGAAGGTCCCTTCAGCACTAAAGAGTTTGGATTTCTGGACTCTAGGTGGGTTGTGTATTTGAATTTGACTTGGCACCGTATGCTTAGAATACAACGAACAGCATCATTACCAGCCCTCAAGGAGCTTCTAGTCCTGAGATCTTATGCATAAATGACAGTTACAACACAAAGTGACAGTGACTGCAATTGGAATGCTGTGGAATTACATGGACATATGTCAGCCGTGGAGGGTCAGAGTAGGCTCCCGAGTAAGAGCCCAAGGTATGAATAGGTGTTGACTGATAGAAGGGAAAAGTAACCCAGAGAACATTCCGAACAACAAGAGGAGCATTTGTAAGCATGGGGCATTGTAAATCCTTAGGTTTGGCTGGAGCTAAGGATAGTGATGGGCTGAATTTGGATACTGATGGGCTCTGTACCTCGTGCAGGAATTTGGCTTTGTTGTGAGGGCAGTGGAGAGCCACTGCAAGTTGATTGGTGGGTGCATTATGGCCAGATGTGTCCTTTCAATCAGACTGGAGGTACCAGATAGAAGGCAAATCTGGCCAGGTGCAGTGGCTCATGCCTGTAATCCCAGTAGTTCGGGAAGCTGAAGTGGGTGGGTCACTTGAGGCCAGGAGTTCAAGACCAGCCTGGCCAAAATGGTGAAACCCCCATCTCTACTAAAAATACAAAAATTAGCCAGGCGTGCTGGCGCGTGCCTATGGTCCCAGCTATTTGGGAGGCTGAGGCAGAAGAATCACTTGAACCCGGGAGGCAGAGGCTGCAGTGAGCCGAGATCCTGCCACTGTTCTCCAGCCTGGGTAACAGAGTAAGACTCTGTTTCCAAAAAAAAGAAGGCAAGATCTTCATTGGGGGCTACATAAGCCAGGTATGGATGATGAGATCCAGACCCAGTCAAGGCAGTAGGAAGGAGAGAAGCAGACAATTGGAAGAAACTTAAAAGATGAATAGAGCCAGGCACAGTGGCTTACACCTGTAATCTCAACACTTTGGGAGGCTGAGGCAGGAGGATCACTTGAGTCCAGGAGGTCAGGTCTGCAGTGAGCTATGATCACATCACTGCCCTCCAGCCTAGGGAGCAGAGAAAGGCTCCTTCTCTAAAAATATGAATAAATAAATAAAATAAAGGAAAAATAGACAAGACTCCAAAATTGACTGGAATTCAGGGCAGGGTGTGGTGGGAGGAGGCCTGCTTTTAGAGGTGGGTGGGGGGTAGCGATGAAATACCTAGGAGAAGCAGCAGGTTGCCGGAGACCGATGGTGAGTTCTCCCCACCCCACTGGGCCTGGTGTGATGCTCGTTCTTACTGCCTGGTGGATATTTTGCTCCCTTCTAGGTTCTGTAGAAGAGTTCCTATTGAAAAAGTCAAAAGAGGAACCTGGGGACTTTGATAAGTTCTACTTAGTGGCAGCTTCCTTTGAAGATGTGGGAAATCACACCATAGTGACAGCGCTGTTCAACAACCAGGCATACCATGCTTCTGCTGTGGCTCTGGCACTGGTGGACAATTTTCTCTTCAAGTTGCTTTCTGGTGCCAGGGCATCCATTACTGTATCCAACCACCCTCAACCTCTGACATTTGTGAAGGAGGCGGAGAATTTGTGGTATCAGTATGTGTGAATTCTCTTCTCTCCATCTACACCTCTGTAGGGCTCCACCCTTTTCCACCTATTTCTGTCTTTGCTTCTTGTTTTAAGTACAAACTGTTATTTGGAAGATGGTTGCTATTAGCAGTTCCACATACTCTGCTACGTCTCACCTTATGTCCTGTCTTTTACAGGGGCCCTAAAGGACATTACCTTGTTATCAACTTGCTTTTGGGATTAGCTTTCCTGTCTAGCTCTTTTTCCATGTTGACAGTTAGAGAGAGGCTCGTCAAGGCCAAGCACGTCCAGTTTATCAGTGGAGCTTATGTGGCCACTTTCTGGCTCTCCGCTCTGCTGTGGGACCTCGTCTCCTTCCTCATCCCCAGTCTGCTGCTGTTGGTGAGTGCTGGAGGGTGCCGGGATTCTTCAGTTGCATATCGTAGGGGGTTTCTCCTGGGGACTCCTGCATAGAGCCAGAGTCAACTGGGAAGTCTAGGTTGGCAACTCTGTCCCCAGTGGGGAGTCAGGGTTTGAGATTGCCCTCATCACTGACCCTTGGTAGAGACTCAAGTTCCCAGCTTTGTTAGGAGCAGAGGAACCTGCTTTGGGGTCTCTATGTGGCCCCCTCAAGAATTTCTACTTCAAGCTAGTAAGGGGCAGTACTTTGGGGAAATCTGTTTATTGTCCAGAAATACCTCACCAGGGTACTGATGGGTTGAAGTACTTAATTGTGGCTCCCTGGTTATGTGTGCAGAATGGACCACTTCATGCTTTGTTCTGCCTGTGTACTTAATTGTGGCTCCCTGGTTATTTAGGCAGAATTGACCACTTCATGCTTTGTTCTGCCTGTGTTTTGTGAGCATCTCCGAACCCCTTATCACACTACACTGCACCACTGATTTCCAGGGCAACTCCCGGAGAATAGAGTTTAGGGCTTGCTCATCTCTGCATGTGCAGATGAGTAGAAGGGAAGTGCCCACGCAGAATTGCTAACACCTTACTTTTAAAATTGAGATTCTGATATTCTTTCTCCAGTGTTTAGGATTGACTCTTAATGACTTTTCCAAATTTTTCCCCTGCCCTTCCTAAGGTGGTGTTTTTATACTATCGTGAAGAAGCTTATACACACAATGAAAATGTCCTGGTTGTTATCCTGCTGTTAATGCTCTATGGCTCCGCTATTATCCATTTTGTCTACTTGGTCAGCTTCTCTTTCAATAATGCGGGCAACGCTTGTGTCAAGCTGATCATCATGCTCACCTTCCTCAGCATCTGCCCCTTCATCCTTGTCTCAGTCACAGGTGAACAAGGTGAGGACCGTACAGCACGCAGCACACATAGCTTTCACTTTCCCTCCAGCAGTCTCCAAAGTTGCACCCAGGAAACTGCATGTCTACCAAAGACCTGTGAGGGACAGTCCACAGCAGCTGTTGCCTGAAGAGTCCCCAGTGTGAATGTCCCAAACACACATCTCCAGGAGAATGGATGATTACTACTCACAAATTTAAAAAGGGACCTGCATGGATGGCTATCAAAGACAATGTTGAGCAAAAGAGTGAACACTGTATGATGCCACTAATGAAGTCCAAAACTAGTCCTGGAGATGGAACCAGAAACATGGTTGCCTCGGGGTTGGGGAGAGGGAGATTGTCTAAAAATAGACTTTAGGGAACTCTCTAGAGTGATGGAAATGTTCTTTATCTTGACTGAGGTGTTGGTTACATGGGCTTAGAGGTTCTTCAAAATTCATCAGATTGTCTACTTATGATCTATGCACATCACGGAACTATGTAATCCCTCAGTAAAAAAGATAATAAGTAAATGGCAGGGGCACGACCTCAACCGTGGCAAAATAAACTTTCTAAATTAACTGAGACCTGTCATATTTTCTGGGTTCACAGAGCCAAGGCTGAGGACAGGCTGCTCGGTGAGTGCGCAGCTAGAGTGAAGGAAGCTGCAAGTGAGTGCCATTCAGGCCCCTGTGTCTGTGCCACCGTGTCTATGAGTCAGGCTGGATAGGCATGCTGATATTTTACCTCAGTTCCATTCTTTCCCATCTGCATTTATCCTGAACACCTCCTTCATATAGACTGGATTTTGTTTTGTTTTTCTTAAAAATGAATTAACAGCTTCCCTTTGCTTTTTTTTTTTTTTTTTTTTTTTTTGAGACATCATCTCACTCTGTCTCCCAGGCTGGAGGGCAAAGGCGAAATCTCAGCTCACTGCAACCTCCACCTCCCAGGTTCAGGGGATTCTCCTGCCTCAGCCTTCTGAGTAGCTGGGATTACGGGTGCCCACCACCACACCCAACTAATTTTTGTATTTTTAGTAGACGTAGGATTTCACCATGTTGGCCAGGCTGATCTCTGTTGCCAGGCTGGAATACAGTGGTATTATCTCAGCTCACTGGAACCTCTGTCTCCCGGATTCAAGTGATTCCTCTGCCTCAGCCTCCCTAGTAGCTGGGACCATGCCCAGCTAATTTTTGTATTTTTAGTAGGGAAGGGTTTCATCATATTGGCCAGGATGGTCTCAATCTCTTGACCTCGTAATCCACCCACCTTGGCATCCCAAAGTGCTGAGATTACAGGTGTGAGCCACCGCGCCTGGCTCCTTCTACTTTTAACTTGGGAGTCGTTATGTCTCCTAAGAGACTCTTGATGATAGTTTTATCTCCACAAACTGTAGAGGCAGGAAGTGCATCCTCCTCATCATATGTAAGGTGACACTCAAACGACTTGGAAGCCAGCAGTTCACCCCTGCTGTCTGGACACAGATCATTTGTAAACCTCATCTCCTTCTACCCTCAGATCTCCCACCTCCACAGATGCAGCCCATGCTGGGGCTGTGCTCCTGATTTTCCAAAACACACCGTATTTTTCTTGTGCATTCTCCTGCATCAACAACTGGAAAAAAGTAAAGTGGGGCTGGGCGTGGTGGCTCACACCTGTAATCCCAGCACTTTGGGAGGCCAAGGTGGGCAGATCACAAGGTCAAGAGTTCGAGACCATCTTGGCCAACATGGTGAAACCCTTTTTCTACTAAAAATACAAAACTTACCTGGGTATGGTAGCCCACACCTGTAGTACCAGCCACGCAGGAGGCTGAGGCAGGAGAATTGCTTAATCCCGGGAGGTGGAGGTTGCAGTGAGCCGAGATCATGCTACTACTGCACTCCAGCGTGGGTGACAGAGTGAGACTCCTTCTCCAAAAAAAAAAAAAAAAAAAAAAGAGGAATTCACCTACTGTATGTAAAGGTGAGGAATTGCCTTGTAACCTGAAGATCACCCAGATTTTAATAATGTCTATTTATCCTGTTTTAGGAGGCGAGTTTGTGATCCAAAAGAACATCTATGCATGGGAGTTGCTAGGTATGGGGAAGCACCTCATGGCTCTGGCTATATCAGGACCTGTGTACATCATCCTGCTTTTCTTTGTTGAAACCAATATGTTCTAGAAACTGAAAACCAGGGTGTGTGACTTCTGCATGAGGCAAAATTTGGTGAGTAGGTCAATGTGTAAATCCTCTGGGACAGGCACAGAGCCTGGCTCCATAGCTTCCTTCCTGTGGTCTGTAGCTGCCTTGATTCTCAGAATCAGAGGGAGCCTGCAGATCATCTGGTCCCATCTCAGAGCAGAGAGGTGACAGCTAGTGCCCAGGAACTCCGAGACAGGGAAGAAGCCTTGGGCTTAGTCCCTAGGCCCTGTTCATGATGCTGGTCACCTGTGGGGCTTTAAGGACTGCTCATCAATGAATAGAAACAATATCCTGAGATTAGGTCAAGTGAGGCGGCTCATGCCTGTAATCCAGCACTTTGGGAGGCCAAGGCGGGTGGATCACCCAAGGTTGGGAGTTTGAGACAGCTTGGACAACATGGTGAAACCCTGTCTCTACTAAAAATACAAAAATTAGCAGGATGTGGTGGTGGGCATCTCTAATCCCAGCTACTCAGGAGGCTGAGGCACGAGAATCGCTGGACCTCAAAGAGGGAGGTAGAAATGAGCCCAGATCACGCCATTGCACTCCAGCCTGGGCAACAGAGCAGGACTCCATCTCAAAAAAAAGAAAAAAAGTTACCTGAGAGTCCTAAAATCAGTCACCTTCTAGAACACCTCTTACCCCATAGACATCCATGAGTCAGACGGGAGAAAGTTCTGTCCAGTCAGCTCTTGGTCTGAGTATTTTCCAGAGGCCAAGACCACCCAAGGAAACTGTAGAAAATATGCTTTTATTATATCTTGACATCCCCAGGTTATAAGTCTTCCAGCTTTCCTCAAAAGTTGATGCCATGTTGTTGCATGTCCACCATATAATGGTCACGGCAATCTGAGTTCAGTCTTTGATACCTGTAGTTGCTTCTGAGACAGGGGTGAACATTTTTATGTGAACCAGTGTCAGCTGGACACCTTCAAGGCCTTCAAGAGAGGATCCAGTCTTTGTTGGTCCCTTCAATCTCTACCTTCTACCATTGCAAAAGCAGTTACATTTTCCCTCCTTGTCTTGGAATATAGGCAGTGTTGCACAAAGTAGCATTAGTGCCTGAAGACCAAGATGTGGAAGACGAGGCAAAGAATATCCAGAATTATTTGGAAAATTTGTGTGAGAAAAATCCACTAGTTGTTAAAGAAATATCAAAGGTAAAGTCAGACTTAGCTTCAAAAAGTCATAAACATTCTTCTTTTGGGCCCTTTGCATAAAGAATCAATAAAATGAAGGGCTCTCAGCCCTGCCCGCAGGTGTGGAGTATTGGCAAGTGCCTCAGAGTGAATCACATGAGTTCATTTGTGTACCCTGAGACAGAAATTTGCATCTCAGCCCTCCATTGTCTCTTCTGTGGTCCCCTGGAAGACAAGAGGGCCCGGGATGGGAGGGACACCAGAACCATGAATCTCAAGAAGCAAGGATGTGGGCCAGGTGCGGTAACTCATGCCTATAATCCCAGCACTTTGGGAGGCTGAGGCAGGTGGATCACTTGAGGCCAGGAGTTTGAGACCAGCCTGGCCAACATGGTGAAACCCCAGCTCTACTAAAAATTAATCTCTACTAATTAAGGAAAATTAGTAAGGTATGGTGGTGGGCGCCTGTAATCCCAGCTACTCAGGAGGCTGAGACAAGAGATTTGCTTGAACCCAGGAGGCAGAGGTTGTAGTGAGCCAAGATTGTGCCATTTTGCACTCCAGCCTGGGTGACGAGAAACTCCATTTAAAAAAAAAAAAATCCATGAACTTTGTACCATTTCCCCCCAAGTTTGTTATTCTTATTGTTTCCCTGTGGTTACTGGTAGTTAAAAACAAAATCAAGGCCAGGTGTGGTGGCTCACACCTGTAATCTCAGCATTTTGGGAGGTTGAGAAGGGCAGACTGGCTGAGCTCAGGAGTCTGAGACTAGCCTAGGCAACACAGTGAAACCCTGTCTCTACTAAAATTTAAAAAAATTAGCCGGGTGTGGTGGTGGGCGCCTGTAGTCCCAGCTGCTCGGGAGGTTGAGACAGAATTGCTTGAACCCAGGAGGCAGAGGTTGCAGTGAGCTGAGATCATACCACTGCACTCCAGCTTGGGTGACAGAGCGAGACTCTATCTCAAAAAAAAAAATCAGAAACAAACCATCAGGCAACATCAAAAATATTTTGTTAGCTTTAGGGACAGAAGGGAAAGGGCCTATCTTAGAGAACTAAGTTCTCAATTTGCAAAGACAGTGGGAGAAGAGAAAGACCTTAATAAACCCTGCTTGGAGTAACAGCTGAGAAAAGGTGAGTCTGAGCCTGGGTACAGGAGAGGCCAGGTGAGCCCAGAGAGCAGCTGGGACCTACCCCCGAGCAGGCGTGCAGCAAGCACAGTGCAACTGCTGGACAGCTGATTGCATTGCAGCCTCCTCACTGCGTCTCCCGTCTTGTGTGTCTCAGATCTACATCCAGAAGGCACCCCTGCTGGCTGTGAACAAAGTGTCCTTCACTGTGCCACCACAAGAGTGCTTTGGCCTGCTTGGCATCAGTGGGGCTGGGAAGTCTTGCATTTTCAAAATGCTGACTGGGCAGAAGCCCATAACTTCTGGGGACGGCTTTGTCAAGGGCCTCAGTATCGGCTCTGATGTAGGGAAGGTGAGTGTGTCTCTATAAACAAACCTGAGCTATGCCACAGGATTTGGGGACAGGAACTGGAATGGGACTTGCTCTCTGAAAATTCCATGTATCTGTTTCGTCTGTGACCCCCAAATCCATAGCTCCATCCTAGATTGCTTCTCTGAGCTCCAGATCATGTGTCCAGATGTTTACTTAACATCATCCCATGAATGGCCCACAGGCATCTGAAACTCAACGGGCCCAAATCTCCCCACACATCCCCCCAACCTGCCCTTTCCTCCTCCCTCACACTTCCTGGGGGAATGTGTGGCACACACCGTCCTGCTGTTCAAGGCACCTCTCCAGACATCCAGTCAAGCACAGTCCGTGGGCTCCCTCCCAGCAGCCCTTGAATCTGCTGTCTCTGGACCTGGTCATCCCGCACTCCCCTAGCTGAGGAGGCTTCTGTTCAGTCTGTGTTTTCCTTAACTTATCTGCAGCATTCATAATGCTGGCCCTTTCTGCTCTCAAACTAGGCTTCCTCTGTTAACTTCTGTAGCTTTCCCCTCTCCTGGCTCTTATCAACCACTGACACATCCTTCTCAGAAGAGGGTCTTTTACATCTGGTCCTTACATTTCACAGGGGCTGTGTCGTCAGCCACTGTCCTTCTCACTCCACATGCACTGGTACCCGCCTGTTGTCTTGGCTGCTGTGGCTCCTGTTAACATCTGTCTGTGGATGCCTCCCCAGTGGCCGCACCCCAGCCCACTCCAGCCCTGTGCTTCAGTCCTGCATGCTGATACCTTCTCATCAGCGTTCCTTGGACCTCTCGCAGATGTTTCATACTTGAACTTAATATCTACACCTAAGCCTGACCCACTTCTTGGATTCTCTAACTCAGTTTGGCACTGGTTCAATGAGACACTTCTTGAGGGCCTTGTGTGTCCAACCATTGTGCTAGACCCACTGGTTCTCACTTGCATGAGCACATGAACAAGCCATCGCCGTGAGGTAAATGCATAGCTGACGTCGCCGGTGCTACAGAGGGGATGCGGTCAAAGGCCTCTAGAGAGACTGCGCTGCAGAGGCACAGCTAGAGTCGTACTCTTTACAGCAGACGCATGCATGAGTCACTCTATTGCCAAGAAGTTTATCAAGCTGGCCTCTGTCTGTGCCCTAATCCTGTAGAGAGAAGGAAAAAGAACCCACCCAGTCCAGTTCCAGAATCTGTGCTCTCAGTTGCCACTCTTAGGCTGTCTTTCAGTGTACCTACCTTAGTTGGAGAGTTATAACCAATGTAAGCCCTTCTTGGTCATAAAACATTTACTATTAACTTTTTATTACTCAAAAAAGTGTGGGCAAGTTCTTCTAATAATGTCAAACAAGGAAATTCTGGCCCCCCTCCTGCTGATGGTAACTAGGAAAACTGGACCAAATGTCAAAAACATGTTTGAAAGTCTTAGAAAGCTAACAAGATAGTGAAGCCTTACTCGGCCGGGAGGTAGAAGAGGATAGCGGCCCAGGGAGGTGAGCAATGCAAAGCTGCACAGCTGAGAGCTGAGCGTTGCTCTTTATGCTGAGTGACAGGAGTTGGAATTCAGGGCTTAGCTGGGGCAAGACCATGCCTGGTGAAAGCATCCTTTGTTTGAGTGGAGACCCTAAAGGGCTGCACTATAGACATAGGGGTGAGCCGTGCTTATGCAAGCTTATACAATAATTGCAAAACAGCCTGGACTTGATAGCAGTCTTTGACATGAAATTGATGTGACCCTAAACTGCCAGTGCTCCCAAGCATCTGTCAGAAATAAAAGGTGGTGGCTCATACCTCTAATCTCAGCACTTTGGGAGATTACAGAGGGCAAATCACTTGAGGTCAGGAGTTTGAGACCAGCCTGGCCACCATGGTAAAACCCTGTCTCTACTAAAAATACAAAAATTAGCCGAGCATGGTGGCAGACACCTCTGATCCCAGCTCTTTGAGAGGCTGAGGCAGGAGAATCATTTGAACCTAGGAAGGGGGGAATCGAAGATCTCACCACCGTACTCCAGCCTGGGCAACTGAGTGAGACTCTGTCTCAAAAAAAAAAAAGGTCAGCAACAGTGGTGCATGCCTGTAATCCCAGCACTTTGGGAGGCTGAGGCAGGTGGACAAGTTGAGGTCAGGAGTTTGAGAGCAGCCTGATTAACATGGTGAAACCCCATCTCTACTAAAAATACAAAAATTACCTGGGTGTGGTGGCACATACCTGTAATTCCAGCTACTTGGGAGGCTGAGGCATGAGAATCGTTTGAACCTGGGAGGTGGAGGTTGCAGTGAGCTGAGATCAAGCCACTGTACTCCAGCCTGAGTGACAGAGAGAGACTCTGTCTTAACAACAACAACAAAAAAAAAAAAAAAAAAGGTAAATCTTCTTTAGGGAAAGATTATATCATCCTAGTCCTCAAATGATTTCTACAAACAACTTGACAAATGCAATGCTTGGTGCACAATAAAAAATACCCAGGTACCTGTGGATAAAAGCTAACAACATTGCAAAAAATGATAATAATTTAGAATGAAGCACAGAGGTCAAAAGGGTGGAAAATATACAGAAGAGGATGAGAGTCATTGTGGTATACAGCCTCCAAGGTGTGCCCTAGTAATGCTCCTCCTAGCATTCACACCCTTGAGTAGTTCCTCCCCATGTTGTACCAGGGTTGGTGCATGTGACCAGCAAACACTGTAGTCTTCTGAAGAAGAGATGGGGTGTCACTTCTGAGACTGGGTCATAAAAGACACCACAGCCTCTGCCTCGGATATACTCTCCCCTTCACAGCACTCACTGTATTATCATGGTTTGCCAGATAAACAGAACAAATAAAATACAATAAGCAGACACATTTATTATGAGGCATTGGCTTGCACAATTATGGAAGCTGAAAAGTTCCACAGTCTGCCATCTGCAGGCTGGAGGCTCGGGAAAACCAGTGGTATAGTTCCTGTCCAAACCCAAAGGCACAGGGACTGGGGTGACAATGGTGTCAGTCCCAGTCTGAGTCTGAAGGCCCAAAAGTTAGTGGCCCCAGTGTCCAAGTATAGGAGAAAATGGACATCCCAGCCTAGTAAAAGAGCAGAGCCACTTTCCCTCTGCCTTTGTGTTCTCTTCAGGCCCTCTGCAGGTTGGATGACACCCGGCGGCATCCGTGAGGGCAAGTCTCTATTCCGTCTCTGATTCATGTGCTGAGTGCTTCCAGAAACACTCTCGCAGGCACACCCAGAAATCAAGTTTCACCAACTATCTGGGTATCCGTGAGCCCAGCCAAGTAGGCACATAAAATTAACCAGCTGCCTATAATCCCAGCACTTTGGGAGGCCGAGGCGGGCAGATCACTTGAGGTGGGGAGTTCCAAGACCAGCCTGACCAACACGAAGAAACCCATCTCTACTAAAAATACAAAAGATTAGTCTGGTATGTTGGCGAATGCCTGTAATTCTAGCTACTCGGAAGGCTGAGGTAGGAGAATTGCTTGAACCTGGGAGACAGAGGTTGCAGTGAACTGAGATTGCACAATTACACTCTAGCCTGGGCAACAAGAGTGAAACTCAGGCCAGGCAAGGTGGCTCATGCCTGTAATCCCAGCACTTTGGGAGGCCAAGGCAGGAAGATCACGAGGTCAGGAGATTGAGACCATCCTGGTCAACACGGTGAAACCCCGTCTCAAGTAAAAATTCAAAAAAATTAGCTGGGCATGGTAGTGCAACCCTGTAGTCCCAGCTACTCGGGAGGCCGAGGCAGGAGAATTGCTTTAACCCAGGAGGCGGAGATTGCAGTGAGCAGAGATCGGGCCACTGCACTACAGCCTGGGTGACAGTGCAAGACTCCACCTCAAAAAAAAAAAAAAAAGAAAAGAAAAGAAAAGAAAAGAAAAAAAAATTAACCAGCATGCTCTCTCTGAAGGAAGCTAAGTGCCGTGTCATGCAGCACCTAGGTGGCCTTGCAGAGAGGCCTGTGTGGTGAGGAGCAGTCAGAAAGTACCTGAGACCTGCCAGCCACTTGGAAGCAGCTACCTCAGCCTTCAAGAGACTTTGGGCCCAACTAACAGGTTAGCAGAACCTCATGAGAGACCCTGGCCAGCACCACCCAACTAAGCTGCTCTGAGATTCCTGATGTGACACATAGAAACCATGAAATAACAAATTACACCCAAGTTTTGGAGTCATTTGTTATGCATCAACATGACTAATCACGTACAAAGGATACAGTAAGAAGTGTGTGTAACAGAGATTCCAAAAGGAAGGGAGACAAGGCAACATTTAAAACCACATGGCTAAAACTGTTCAAAATTTATGAAAGACATCAATTGCAAATGAAGCCCTATTATCCTCAAGCAAGGTCAATGAAATCAGCCCCTAGGAACAGTATACTAAATCTGCTGAAAACCAACACAAGAAAAATCTTAAAAGGACCCAGAGATAAAAGGTGGATTCCCTTCACAAGAGCAACAGTTACTGGTACCAGATCCCATCACAGAAATAATAGAGGCCAGGAGACAATAGAACGATACATTGTGATATAAGAGGAAACAACCTACCGAGAATATAGTAACCAGTAAAACTATACTTAGAAAGGTGTTGTGTTTTGTTTGTTTGTTCGGTTTGGTTTTTTTTTTTTTTTTTTTTTTTTTTTTTGAGACAGACTTACTCTGTCACCCAGGCTGGAGTGAAATAGCATGATCATGGCTCACTGCAACCACCGCCTACTGGGTTCAAGCAATTATCCTGCCTCAGCTTCCCCAGAAGCTGGGATTACAGGCGTGGGCTAATTTTTTTGTATTTTAGTAGAGACAGGGTTTTGCCATGTTGGCCAGGATGGTCTCTGTATCTCCTGACCGCATGATCTGCCTGCCTTGGCCTCTCAAAGTGCTGGGATTACAGGCATGAGCCACCATGCCCGGTCAATTTTTGTATTTTTAGTAGACACGGGGGTTTCTCCATGTTGGTCAGGCTGGTCTCGAACTGCAGACCTCAGGTGATCCACCCACCTCAGCCTCCTAAAGGAGCTGGGATTACAGGTGTGAGCCACCACACCCAGCTGGAAGGTATTTTTTTAAAGACCTTCAGATAAATAAAAGCTGAAATAATTTATCATCAGCAGATGTATGCAAAAGGAGATAATAAAGAGTAAATTTCAGACAGAAGGAAAATGATTCCAGATGGAAGCTCAAAGATTCAGAAAGGGTTAGGCATGGTGGCAGTGGCTTATGCCTGTAATTCTATCACTTTGAGTGGTAAGGCAAGAGGGGAAAAAAAAAAAACAGAAAGGGAGAAAAAGTTATTATTATTATTATTTTTTGAGACGGAGTCTCATTCTGTTGCCAGAATGACTACAGTGGTGCAATCTTGGCTTACTGCAACCTCTGCCTCCTGAGTTCAACTGAGTTTCCTGCCTCAGCCTCCAGAGTAGCTGGGACTATAGGCACCCATCAACATATCCAGCTAATTTTTGTATTTTTAGTAGAGACGGAGTTTCACCGTGTTGGCCAAGATGGCCCCAATCTCCTGACCTTGTGATCTGCCCACCTCAGCCTCCCAAAGTGCCGGGATTACAGGCATGAGCCACCATGCCCAGCCAAGTGATTATTATTTTTTTTTTTAAAGAGAGATCTGTGAGTTTTGACTGAAAGCTATAATAGTAATGTCTCATGAGGCTTAAAACATAAATAAAGGTAAAATATATGACAACAATAGCTGTAAATCAGGACAGAGTAAAAGAAGTTAAAGTATTTTAAGGTTCATGCCTTGTTCATGAAAAAAGTAAATAGTTAATGATATCTATCGCCAAATCAAGGATGCATGTTTTAATCTCTAGGAATAACCAAAGGAATAGGGGAAAGGAGTATATACCTTTTAAGGTAACAGAGGAGAAAAATAGAAAAATGAAAAAAAATATGACAGAAGAATTGAGAGAGAAAAAGGAACATAGAACATATGGGTTACCCAGCCCTGAATAAGACGGTAGATTGAGGCCAGGCATGGTGGCTCACACTTGTAATCCCAGTACTATGGGAGGCCCAGGTGGGAGGATGGCTTGAACCTAGGAAACCCAGGCCAGCCTGGACAGCATAGTGAAACCCCATCTCTACAATAAAATGTAAAATTAGCTGGGTATAGTGGTGTGTGCCTGTGGTCCCAGTGATTCTCTGATTCTCCTGCCTCAGCCTCCCAAGTAAGTGAGATTACAGGTGCAGGCCACCACACCTGGCTAATTTTTTTGTATTTTAGTACAGACAGCGTTTCGCCATGTTGGCCAGGATGGTCCCGATCTCCTAACCTCAAGATCTGCCTGCCTTGGCCTCCCCATTGCTGGAATTACAGGCTTGAGCTGCTGCACTGGGCCACGCTGAAGCTGCAGTGAGCTATAGTCACAGCAATGCACTCCAGCCTGGGCAAGAGAGACTTTATCTTAAGAAAAAATAAAAAATGTGTTTCTATGCATCACATCTAAATCCAAACATCAGTACTTACATTAAATATAAATGAACAAAGTCTCCAGCTAAAAGATTAAAATTATCAGAAAGGGCCGGGCGCGGTGGCTCAAGCCTGTAATCCCAGCACTTTGGGAGGCCGAGGCAGGTGGATCACGAGGTCAAGAGATTGAGACCATCCCGGTCAACACGGTGAAACCCCGTCTGTACTAAAAATACAAAAAATTAGCTGGGCATGGTGGCGCATGCCTGTAATCCCAGCTACACAGGAGGCTGAGACAGGAGAATTGCCTGAACCCAGGAGGCGGAGGTTGCGGTGAGCCAAGATCGCGCCATTGCACTCCAGCCTGGGTAACAAGAGCGAAACTCTGTCTCAAAAAAAAAAAAAAAAAAAAAATTATCAGAAAGGATACTCAAAAGGTTAAACACAGAATTACCATATGACTTAGCAATTCCATTCCTAGGTATATAACCAAAAGAACTGAAAACCTACATCCACACAGAAACATGCACAAGAAAGTCCACAGAAGCTTTACTCATAGCAGCTAAAAGTGGAGACAACTCAAATGTCCATTAACAGATGAATGGATAAACATGTGGTCTTGCTATATAATATGTCATGTTCCTCAGCCATAAAGAGTAATGAAGTGGCCAGTCACGGTGACTCACACCCTAATTTCAGCACTTTGAGAGGCCAAGGCAGGCAAGTCAAGAGGCCGGGAGTTCGAGACCAGCCTGGCCAATATGGTGAAACCCCATCTCTACCGAAAATACAAAAATTAGCTGGGCTTGGTGATAGGTACTTGTAATTCCAGCTACTCAGGAGGCTGAGGTAGAAAAATTGCTTGAACCCAGGAGACAGAGGTTGCCATGAGCTGAGATGGTGCCATTGCACTCCAGCCTGGGCGACAGGGAGAGACTCCATCGCAAAAAGATAAATAAAAAGCATGTTGGCTGGGCGTGGTGGCTCACGCCTGTAAATCCCAGCATTTTGGGAGGCCGAGGCAGGTGGATCATGACGTTAGAAGATCGAGACCAGCCTGATCAATGTGGGGAAACCTCGTCTCTACTGAAAATACAAAAATTAGCTGGGCATGGTGGCAGGCGCCTGTAGTCCCAGCTACTCAGGAGGCTGAGGCAGGAGAATTGCTTGAACCCAGGAGGCAGAGATTGTAGTGAGCTGAGATCACGCCACTGCACTCCAGCCTGGGTGACAGAGTAAGACTTCTCAGAAAAGAAAAAAAGAAAGCATGTGACAGAATGATAGATAAAGGATGATACTATTTGGCAAAAAACAGCACCCAGCCAGTCCTGAGCAAGGAGCCTAGGTCCACGCAGGTGCCTTTGCCAACACAGAATGCCGGACGGTGCACTGCAGCCTGGCCACAGTGGGCTGGGGCAGGCCGCCAACAGACTGCGGGAGTCTTTACCTGAATATTTTACAAAGAAAATCGATTTGCAGATTACAAGTATAATAGAAAATATTTCTAAAGGGTAAAAAAGCAAAGCAAGCCTCTTGTATTGACTGGATGCTTCAAAGGCACCAGGAAGTAGGGGGGCACTGGGTGCTACGGTTTCATGCTGGGTGAGCTGGAGGAGGAGCCAAATAAGTGATCCACCCTGCCCACTACACCAGCAGCTCCCTGACGTAACTGTAGTACCACTCACAGGCCCTTCGTGGTTCGCATTCATGTGGCAGATGTGGGTAGCGGCAGGGGCAGCAGCCTGGAGGTGTCCAGACCCTTGCCTCATTGGAGGCTTGGTGAGCCTATGGGAGGAGGGTTTCCTCTGACGTGTCTCCCTCTCGGGGCTATTTTCTAACCCAGGTACGGTGGTGGATTGGTTACTGTCCTCAGTTTGATGCTCTGCTGAACTTCATGACAGGCCACGAGATGCTGGTCATGTATGCCCGGATCTGGGGCATCCCAGAGTGCCACATCAGTGCTTGTGTGGACCAGATTATTGAGGACTTAGTCATGTACATGTATGCTGACAAGTTGGTCAAGACCTACAGGTGAGATCTGAGGCTTCCCCTGGCCCCTCTGCCTCCAGTTACAACGTAAGTTCCAGTTTTTCCCAGAGCTGGAGAGCAGGGCAAAGCCCCCAGCTCTGGGGATGAGGTCCCCGTGCAGGTGGTTGGGGGCAGCTTCCACTCCTGTAGGAAGAGGTCAGTGGCCTGGGCTGCCCCAAGGCACCACTTCCTCTTGGCCCTGGGCTTGAGTGGATTATGAAGCTGCCCCAGTCCAAAGGTAGTTTACATGGCTGACAACAGGCAAATGGTGCCACGGGTGTTACTGTCCTGCTAAGATGAGGACAGACCTTTCTTCCTGCCACTTCATGAAGGGCTTTCTGTTGTCGGTAAGTTTGCATTTTAAGCCCACAGTTACCTCATACCTCTGTGTCTAGGGTACCTGAACCGCTGATGTTCTGCTGAAGAGCATGGGGTATTCCTCAGGCTTCTGTTGTCAGTGATAGAAGCCCTACTCCAATTAACTATTTTTTTTTTTTTTTTTGAGATAGAGTTTCACTCTTGTTACCCAGGCTGGAGTGCAATGGCGTGATCTCGGCTCACCGCAACCTCCGCCTCCTGGGTTCAAGCAATTCTCCTGCCTCAGCCTCCTGAGTAGCTGGGATTACAGGCACGCGCCACCACGCCCAGCTAATTTTTTGTATTTTTAGTAGAGACGGGGTTTCACCATGTTGACGAGGATGGTCTCGATCTTCCGACCTCGTAATCCACCCGCCTCGGCCTCCCAAAGTGCTGGGATTACAGGCTTGAGCCACCGCACCCGGCCTCCAATTAACTATTAAAGCAAGGCCCCAGACCGCACGGATCCAAGGACTCCCTTCGCGTTGTGTGCAGCGCCCCTGGAGGCACATAGCGGTACTGCACACCCAGGATTGGGGCGTAGAGGTGCCCACACCGTGGGCAAATTGGGCCCAGGGTCAGATGATGATATCCCTTGGCTCTTCCATCTTTGTTGGCTTCTGTTTCAAGCAGGTTTTTATGTTTCCCTGTATCTTCTGAAGATCAAATGAGTTCATATTTGCACAGCTTAGAACAGTGTGTTGCACATAGTAAATGCTATATGTTTTAAGTTAGCTAAGATGGGCCAATACCCTTCTTCTCAGATGGAGAAGCACTTGCCCTCAACACTTCCAGACCCTCAGAGAAGACTCGCCAACCATGTGCTCACCCTGGACTCATCCCTGTGTCCAGGAGAAGGGGTTATTCCCTGAGTGGATAGCCCCAGCCACGGTTCAGCCCTGGGTGAAAGCAGTGGGCTGCACTGCTGAAAGCCCCATGTGGGGTGTGGGAACACTTCCTGAACAGAGAAGGAAAGGGGGTGAGTGTTGAGCCAGAAGTGCTCACTGCTGGAGTCTGACCATTCCCATCACCTAATCTTCTCCCCTCCACCCCCAGTGGTGGGAACAAGAGGAAGCTGAGCACTGGCATCGCCCTGATTGGAGAGCCTGCCGTCATCTTCCTGGACGAGCCATCCACTGGCATGGACCCTGTGGCTCGGCACCTGCTCTGGAATGCGGTGGCATGAGTCCGCGAGTCCGGCAAGGCCATCGTCATCACCTCCCACAGGTAGAGCCTGGCTCTGCGGGTCACTGGAAGTTTCAAAACCAGGTGGGATGGGAAGGAGCCACGTGGCCAGGAGATCCATCAACAGCTGGTGCAGAGTCTGCGAGGAGATTCCCCAGGCTCTGCACATGAGCCACACTCTGAGCATGGGTATCAGGAATGGCCTGATCAGGGTACCAAACCCCCTTCCTGTCTGCACGAGCCTTTGGCACTCCAGCCCTGTCTCAGGCCCCACCCTCTTCCCAGCATGGAGGAGTGTGAGGCCCTGTGCACCCGGATGGCCATCATGGTGCAGGGGCAGTTCAAGTGCCTGGGCAGCCCCCAGCACCTCAAAAGCAAGTTCGTCAGCCGCTACTCCCTGCGGGCCAAGGTCCGGAGCGAAGGGCAGCAGGAGGCGCTGGAGGAGTTCAAGGCCTTCGTAGACCTGACGTTTCCAGGTGTGTCCCAGCCCTGGCAGCCCCACACTGGGTGGGCCCTGGGCCCCTGTCTAGGCCTCTCCCATCTGCTGTGAGACGTATCTGTGCCTCAGCCCTGCCATGTCCCATCTCCCCGATCCCTGGGACAAGGATCGCAGTGCCGAGCACCCAGGCACCCTCCCTGATCCTCCAGCCCAGCCCTCACAGCCACGCCGTCTCTCCTTGCAGGCAGCGTCCTGGAAGATGAGCACCAAGGCATGATCCATTACCACCTGCCAGGCCAAAACCTCAGCTGGGTGAAGGTGAGTGCCTATCTTTGACGTGACCCACTTTCTGGGGTAACTCTGTCACTCTCTCTCTCCCTCTTTCTCTCCTCCCCATCACTCTGAAGTCATGTTCAGCACTGCCACTGTCCTGCCATCTCCACGGCAACGTTCACGTGATTTCATAGAACAGAAGGTGTTTCAGCTGGAAGGGACTTTGGAGATCTGCTCCTCCTGCCCCCTCATTTCAGGGAGAGGAGAGCAGGCCCAGAGAGGAAACACCACATGCCCAGGGACACACAGCAAGCCAGGGACCCTGCCAGGCCTCTGCCCTTCTGGCACCATTCCCACCCAAGAGTATGGGCAGTGGAGATCCATAGCGCCGAGTTCTTGGGAAGTGTTCTGGAGCAGCTGAGAGAGGGATGGGCCTCTTGGGGGCCTTGTGAGAGTCCCAGAGGCCAGCCCTTCCACCCTCTCCTTCCCCGTGTGCGTCTGTGGGACAGCCTGGCCACAGCAGCCTCCTCCCAGGTGTTTGGCACTCTGGAGCAAGCCAAGAAGAAGTACATGCTGGATGACTACGCAGTCAGGTCACCCTGGAGGACATCTTTCTGAGCTTCGCCTGCCCTGTGCCCCTGGTCCGAAGTGGAGGCCAATGAGAGCAGGCAGAGCACGCGGGCCCCTCATTGTGCTCCCTGCCTCCCTCTCAGCCTCCCTCCCTGCCTCCCTCAGAGCCTGTCCTGCTATAATAAAGACATCCCAGTGCCAGGTTGGCCCAGGTGTGCATGGCCTGGCCTCAGCTTCCAGGGCTACAGAGGCAGCTCTCAGCCCAGCTGGCTCGGCACGGGGCTCTCCCCTCAACTGCAGTGCATGGAGCAGCGTGGGGCCCACCAGGGAACTTGAGAGGCCCCCTGGAGAACCCAGGAGCGTTTCAGTAGGAAGGGATGCCCGAGTCCCACCTGAGTAGCCTGTGGTCTTCCTGAGATCCTGAGACCTGGCTGTGGAAGCAGCCTCAAAACATCTTGCATGTCCTTTCCAAGGGTGGTGGACAGGGGGTGACCACAGTACTAACCATGACCCGACCAGGTGCCAGCTCTGTGGTCGATCCCCTGCAGGCATCATGTCATTTGATCACACCACCCTCAGGCGCAGCTTCAAGGGGCCTGTCCTGGCCATGCCCTTGCTCATGGGCAAGAAGTCTGCAGGGCAGAGGGAAATGCTCACCCAAAGCTTGGGCTCTTCCTTCTCTAGACTCCCCTGCCCATGATCATTTGTCCATCCAGTGCACTCCCTCCCAGGGCAGGGCAGGCCATGCCAGCCGACGCAGCCCAAGACTCGAGGTTCAGCAAAGCAGCAGCTCTGCAGAACTGTGGGTGGAGGAGTTTGGATGTGTTGGAGGGTTCCACACGTGTGCACAGATCCCTTGGAAAGCAGGATAGAGTCAGAAAGAGAGAAGGCTGTCCACAGGCCAGGGCGGGCCTGGCTCCCGTGGCCACATGGAAGAGTGAAGCTTCGCAGAGACCATGATTCCTAACTCACACCTGGCCTCCAGGTGGTAATGACACTGTTTGTCTGAAGGAAGAAAGAAATCTAGACAAGTTTGCTAGCCTAAGTCAGGATGTTATCGTATTTAAATATTTGGATGTGTGGAGTTTCATCCTCTTCCCTGGCTCCCGCAAAGTTAGAGCTACATGTGGTCCTATATCCACCCATGAAGTGGACAGCGCCCCAACTCCCACATGGGTTGACTGGCTTAGAGGCAGCTAGCCACTTCCCACATCAACAGGCAGCGGAGCCAGGGTTACAATGGGGCAGAGGTTCTCCCAGTGGGGTCCCAGCAGCAGCAGCAGCAGCAGCAGCACCATCGGGAAACCTGTTAGAAATGTAGGCTCTCTCTTGGGCCCCACTCGAAACCTACTGAATCAGAAATGCTTGGGGCAGGGCCAGCAATCCATGTTGCAACAAGCCCGATAGCAGGTGCTCTGACACAGCTCCAGTGTAGGAACCTCCACTGAGAGCCTCCACTGAGCAGAGGCCCGGTAGGCACCAGACCGTCGCACCATCCAGATGCAGATGGATGTGGCCACATGCCATTGTTGTGGACCCTCTCCTCTGAGTCCATCAGCGGCCTTTCTCTCCCTGTGGGGCTCACTGTCCCTTGCCACAGGCCCCTAAGCTCCCCTCTGGGCAGATGCAGGACTCAGGAAAGTGTGGGGCACCAGCCTTGCCTATGCTTCCCACAGCTCTTGCCCAGAACAATGGCATGGCAGGCCCGTGGTCGCCAACCCACCCTCTTCTCAGCGCTTGTTTCAGGTGACTGTTCCCTGTGATGAAGGCCACTCCCTGGGCCTCTGCTTCCACATCCAGCTCTCATTCCTCCCATGCCCCTCTCTGCCTCCACTGAAGGCCCATCCTCCTCTCTGAATGTGGGATGTCTCAGGCTCCCAACTTACTTCACGTTCCCTTACTCTCCCCTTGCCCCTCACCACCCATGACATTTTCAACTGACACCTCATTCCACCAGGAATTTCCCTGAGCTCCTAACAGTTTGGACTTTTCCAACAAGGCCTCACCTTGGATGTGTGGACTTTCATCCTCTTCTAGAATCCCCTGCCCAGGTCATTTGTCCATCCAGTGCGCCCCCTCCCACAGCAGGCCATGCCACCCAACACACCCTGAGACGCGAGGTGGACACACAGTGCCCCGGCCTCCAAGTCTGTCGCTTCTCTCCAGGGCTGACCCTTCCAATTTGGACTTGAAAACAAGACTCTTCAAACCCACAGATTCTTATTGATCATTTCTTTCTTTTCTTTTCTTTTTTTTTGAGACGGAGTTTCGCTCTTGTTACCCAGGCTGGAGTGCAATGGCACGATCTCAGCTCACCGCAACCTCCGCCTCCTGGGTTCAGGCAATTCTCCTGCCTCAGCCTCCTGAGTAGCTGGGATTACAGGCACGCGCCACCATGCCCAGCTAATTTTTTGTATTTTTAGTAGAGACGGGGTTCCACCATGTTGACCAGGATGGTCTCGATCTCCTGACCTCGTGATCCACCCACCTCGGCCTCCCGAAGTGCTGGGATTACAGGCGTGAGCCACCGCGCCCAGCCCCCTTATTGATCATTTCTAAAGCCCAGTGGGAAACGGGCTGACACCCTGCAGGAGCCACTCATCACCCCAGCGCAGCCCTGGAGGCTCCAGCTGCCAGCGCAGTGGGTGGAATGGGCCAGGCGTGGCTGGAGCCAAGACAACTCCTGGTCCCTGAAAAAGAGATTTGCCTCTCAATATAGATAGGAGAGTGATCAGGACACAAAGCACAGGATGAAGTCAAACAACAACATAGGGAGCAGGGATGCAGTTCTAGGTCCTAGAGGCAGCCGGTGTCGCCAGTGTGCTCATGGCTGGCTCTTGATTAGTCCCTTCAAGAAGCTAACCCTGAAAGTGCACCTCTGCCCTAGGGGGAGACAGGTAACAGTGACAAAGTAGGAAACAGTAACCCAGGGGGACAAAAGTGAGATGATAGGATAAGAAACCTGGGGGCTGAGAACATGGGATATCTGAGGAGCAGCTCCCAAACCCGCTCAGCCTGTCCTCTCTTCACCCTCCTTCACCAGCTTCCTGATTCCAGGGCAGGGAATAGTCCCAACTTCCAGGGCCTCTCTGGGGCCACGAACTCTTCTGTGCCCTGTGCTGTGATCACCTGTGTACTCTGTCTCTTGCACCAGGCTGGCTGACGCCTGCACACCAGAGCTCCTGTCTGTGTGCCCAGGGCAGGCCCAGTAGCTTTAGGGGTTCTGTGGTCACGAGGGCTGTGGGCACTCATTAGGATGGGAGGGTGCAGACTGAGGGAAGCGTGAGGGAGAGGTGGGCAGCCTTGGCCCAGGCCCCCGCCTCCACCAGACCCTCAGGAGGCTGCGTGTCTTCCCTTGACAGCCCGTGCCGTGAAAGGGGTGGAGTGCGGCTGATTCCTGAAGGACAGCTCGGATGGGCTCTGCCCGAGACAAGAGTGGGCAGATGTGACACCTCCCTCCGCGAGCAGCTCCCAAGTGGCACCGAGGAGGCCAGACAGGGGGCAGGAACCGGTCAAAGTGATGAGGAGGGCTTGCCCCGGTCCCGGGGCACTGGGGCGTCCAGGGTGCGCCACGTTTCGCGGGAAGAAGGGGTCAGCGTTCCGGAGGGTAGGCCAGGGGAGACTTCCAGCGCCGGCTCCCACCCCCTTTCCCTACCACGGTCTGGGCCAGATCCCCGCCCAACAGCGGCTCGGCCACAAACCCAAGGGTCTCCACCTGAAGCGGGCGGCGGAAAGGAAGACCGTGCAGGCTAGGGGTGAGGGTCGCGGGCCCAGGACCGACCCCGGGATCGGGGCAGGGCACTGCCTCGTCCTAGAAGCGCCACGTCGGGGCTCTCGCAGGCCGTTCCTGCGAGGAACGCCAAGGAGTCCCCTTTCCCCTGGCCGCCGGCACGCGTCTTCGCAGCCTATCTGGCATCGCGGATGGCAGTCGCCCGAGTCAGCGGCGAAGCCCGGACTCACGCGGGCGGGAAAGCACGCCGCCAAACCCTCGCCAGCCGCTGGGGAGCCGCGCTCCTCAGGGACTCACTTCCCCGCTGGGGAGGCGGGGCGGCCACGCGGGCTCCACCAATCAGCGGCCCATGTTCGAATTTGCGTCCTGGCGCGGCCAATGGCGGGAGCCCGGAGCAAGCTGGGTGGGCGTGGAGGGCGGGGCACAAGGCGTCTCCGGGGCGGGGAGGGGGCGGGGCCGCCAGAGGCCCCCCCCCGAGCAGGCCAATGGGAGGACCGGGCGCGTTTGAAAACTGGGGCGGGCGGCGGGGCGGGGTCTGCGCCTGCGCGAGGGGTCGGCGCGCTCCAGCCGGGACGCGGGCGCGCTCTCAGGCGGGCTCTGGCTACAGCTACGCTAGCGCTGCGATGGGGAGCGGCGGCGGTGAGTACCGGGCGATGTCCGCCGATCTTTGCCCCGCGCCCCTTCTGCCTGCGCTGAGGGGCGGACGGCGGATCCCGCGAGAGGAAAGACCCTGGCGGCCTGAGGAGGGCGGGCTCGAGCCATTTAACCGGGGGCGGGGGTCGCGTTCGGCGCGGCCGGGCGCGCGGTTTAAATGTCCGGCGGGCGCCTGAGCCCTTCGGCGTCTACCCCCGTCGCGACATTTTCCAGGCAGTTCCCGGAGCGGCAGTCGGGTCCCGGGGAGCCAAACCCCAGCGCCTCCTGGCCAGGGATGGGGCTGCGGAGCGCGTGGAGGCGAGGCGATCCCGCGGTCCGGCCCGTCCTGACGGGGCCTCCGTCCAGCGGGACCGGAGACCCAGCTCCGTGGAAAGCCGCGCTCGGCTCCGCGCGCGTTGAGGCGGAGGAAACCCGAGCTGCGGTTTCAGTTATTATCACAGCGATTATCACACGCCTCCAAGTGTCTGTCCTGGAGCCGGTGAATGAGAACTGTTTAATGGGGAGGTCTATATGGAATCGGAGAATTTGTAGCCCTGGAATACGTTTGGCTTTTGCAGCTGATTTAACTGCTAATGGGAAGACCCAGGGCAAGAGAGGGGAGCAGGGGGCAATCGCTGGGAGGTCCTGGCGGGGAGGTATTCGGGCCCACAGAGGGGAGTGGCGTTTCCTTTCAGGACTGGTAGAAGAATGAATAGAAAGGTAGATTTGAGGCCGGGCGCGGTGGCTCACGCCTGTAATCCCAGCACTTTGGGAGGCTGAGGCGGGTGGATCACGAGGTCAAGAGATCGAGACCATCCTGGTCAACATGGTGAAACCCCGTCTCTACTAAAAATACAAAAAATTAGCTGGGCATGGTGGCGCGTGCCTGTAATCCCAGCTACTCAGGAGGCTGAGGCAGGAGAATTGCCTGAACCCAGGAGGCGGAGGTTGCGGTGAGCCGAGATCGCGCCATTGCACTCCAGCCTGGGTAACAAGAGCGAAACTCCGTCACAAAAAAGAAAGGTAGATTTGTAGATTGGGAGGCAGGATCCCGAGGTTCCTCTCTGAGGGCTTCTGTTATCCTATGAAATAAGGGCTGAGGTCATCTGCATAGAGTGAGGAAGGTGTTGCTGGAGTAGGAATTGGAAAATCGGGCTGTGGGGAGAGGAGAGGGCACACGTCTGAGAAGCATGGCGAAGCCTGAAGAGTGGAGAGCCTGTCTCACCTTTAATGATTGCACGTGTACACAAACCTACAGGTTTAGGTTTGTGTTGGGATCTGAGCAACGACCTTACTGTGTAGCTGTCAACTCCACATTCTTCAGTGGAGGACGCACTGAGACTCAGGGGCCCCGCAGGTCTGCAGAGCTCAGACTTGGACACATACTGCCCCCGGCCTCCCAGTCTGTGGCTTCTCTCCACGGCCGACCCTTCTAGTTTGGACTTGAAAACAAGACTCTTCAAGCCCACAGGTCCTTACTGAACATTATGCACTTTGGTCATCTGTGGCAAAAGCAAGCTATCCACCAGAGGCTCCTGGGGTACCTCGAGAGGAGAGACCCTGGCATCCTGAGGAGGGCGGGCTGGAGCCCTTTAACCCAGGGCAGGGGTGGCGGGTTAACCAGGGGCTTTCCTGAGAGTGAATGTGAGGAAAACCGTCCTCAGCCTTGGCAGGTTTTTCCCCTTCCTGGGTGTTGTGTGGGTCCTGAATCAGAAAGTTTCCCAATAGCTAAGTTACATGATGGGTACTATTTGCCAAATTTTTGTTGAATATTTGAAAATGAATGATGTCTTCTGTAATTCATGCAATGCTACTCCTTTGCATAATCTTTGTTTGAGACAAGAAGCATGATTCCTTCTTTTGTGGTGCAGGGAATAGTTAACCATTAGATCATCTTCAGATGGAAATTTATCTTTTTTTTTCCCTTCAAGGGTTATATGTAGAATAACTTTTCATCTTATCAAGGCTTCTGTCTTTTTTTCCTTAAGTGATCCACTGTAGATGTGCCAAGTGTTTCTGTTACCCTACAAAGCGAAGAATAAGAAGGAGACCCCGAAACCTGACCATCTTGAGTCTCCCCGAAGATGTGCTGTTTCACATCCTGAAATGGCTTTCTGTGGAGGACATCCTGGCAGTCCGAGCCGTAAGTCCCTAGATGAAAACAGTATGAGCCCTAGCATTGTTGATTATACCATCAAGGCCTTGTATTCTTAAATGTCAGAACAAAACTGGCTAAAAAGGAGGGCAGGCCAGGCGCCGTGGCTCACGCTTGTAATCCCATCACTTTGGGAGGCTAGGAGGGCAGATCGCTTGAGCTCAGGAGTTCAAGACCAGCCATAGCAAGACCTCGTTTCTACAAAAAATACAAAAATTAGCTGTGCGTGGTGACGCATGCCAGTACTCCCGTTACTTAGGAGGCCGAGGCAGGACGAACACCTGAGCCTGGGCAGTCCAGGCTGCGGTGAGCCATGATAGTGCCTCTGCACTCCAGCCTGGGCAATGGAAGTGAAACCCTGTATCCAAAAAAAAAAAAAAAAAAAAAAAGGAGGGCAAAGGAAACAAGGGCATTACCAGATGCTTTCTTTGAGAAATTTCTATTGCTGTCTCCCAGCACACTAAGGTTGCCTCTGTTCGTTGTGGTGTCAACAGAGAAAGTACCCTTTTATGGCAGTGAAATTTGCATCCCTTAGATAATAGAATAGTGTTTAAAAGAATAAAAATATATTCTTATATGCACATCCCATGTAACATTTACCATTGAAATGGATTCTAGGGGTTATTTTCTAGATATTGGAACCGTAGCCTTACTTAGAGTGACTTAACCTAGAGTCTACAGTGGATTCATGGGAAAACTCCAGGAAGAATGCATTTCCTGACTCCCAAGCCACCTCCATTGCAGGTGTGACACACTGTATGGACCCCAGGGGGTGCTGAATTTCCAATGTCAATGGAAACTTTGGCATTTAAAATGCTTACCTGTGCTCCGGGTCCTGGCCCAGACACTTCCTGTGTTGGCCCAGCGCAGAGGCTCCAGGTTCTACCTGAGACCTCCATCATGGGTGTCATTATTTGCCTGTGTCCCTGTGACCTGTTTCCACACTCCCACTATCAAGGCCCCCAGCGGGGAGGCACAAAACACATTTCTGTCCTGCCTGCCCCCATTTAAAGTCAGTTTCCCTGGTCTTTGCGGGTGATAACTTTGCAGGGATGTCAAACCCTCCTTCTCAGCCTGGGTGCTTGTTCCCTCCTCCCAGGACCATTGTCCTCCACCCGCCTTTAGAACCTCAGAGAAATGCATTTCTGGGTCTCTTTTCTCTGTTCAAAGCGACGGTTACTTTCACGCAGAGATTGGGGACCTCAACTGTTAGCATGGGGAAGGAGACAGGAGACCCTGCATCTGCACCTCATCCTCAAGAGCCTCCAGGCGGGGGGCTTTCATTTCAGGTGGCCCTCCATGACCCAGCCCGGCCCCCGTTGTTCTGCAGGTGCACTCCCAGCTGAAGGACCTGGTGGACAACCACGCCAGCGTGTGGGCATGTGCCAGCTTCCAGGAGCTGTGGCCGTCTCCAGGGAACCTGAAGCTCTTTGAAAGGTATCTCTGCACCCTGAAAATGGCTTGGTCTTCTCCTGCCTTGGCCTTTCTATGTGCCAGCCTGTGTCCCGAGGCCTGATTCAGCAACGATTTTCCTGTTGCTGTCTCCCATGACATTGCCTCATCCCCTGGGGAGTGACTGAGGGCGGCAGACCTCACACTTTGGGCCACACAAGCCCCACACCTTCCAGCAGGTGGTGCTATCAGTCATTCTCCATGCCACTGACATGGGGCCGTGGTACCTCCAGAGGGCTGTGACCGATTCCCATATGACCCAGACACGAGTCACCTTCCTGAGGAAACTTCACTCAGCCTTCCTTCCCTGTGGTCAAAACATGTGATTTCTGTCCTATAGCATTTCACTCAGTGGCAGATTCTACCCCAGCCTGCGCCCCGCACCCTGTTCGTATGTGCTCATGAGCCCAGGTAGACCACCCTCAGAAGCAGGCCTAGCTTGAGCTTAACAAACTAAAGAACCACAGCTCAGGCGGGGATTTTTCTGATTCACTGTGGCCTTCGTCCACCTGAGTTGCCAGAAATCAAGATAGCCAGCCAGCCAGTAAAGGCAGGCAGCCATGTTCCCGGGGCCGTGCTTCAGCTGCTTCCAGTTGGAATGTGTCTATTTCTTATTGAGACAGGATCCACACATCACACGGTTCACCTTTTTAAAGTATATAACTCACCTGGTTGTGGTTGCTCACACCTGTGTTCCCAGCACCTTGGGAGGCTGAGGTAGGTGGATCACTTTAGGTTGGGAGTTTTAAGACCAGCCTGGCGAAACATGGCAAAATCCTGTCTCTACTAAAAATACAAAATTTAGCTGGGTGCAGTGATGGGCATATGTAGTCCCAACTACTCTGGAGGCTAAAACATGAGAATTGCTTGAACCTGGGAGGCAGAGATTGCAGTGAGCCAAAATCACACCATTGCACTCCAGCCTGGGTAATGGGGTAGGACTGTCTCAAAAAGAAAAATAAAAAATAAAAAAATAAGATGTGGCCAGGCATAGTAGCTCACAACTGTAATCCTAGTACTTTGGGAGGCTGAGGCTGGCAGATCACAAGGTCAGGAGTTCAAGACCAGCCTGATGCAACATGGTGAAACCCCGTCTCTACTAAAAATACAAAAACTAGCCGGGCATGGTGGTGTGCACCTGTGATCTCAGCTACTCAGGAGGCTGAGGCAGGAGAATCACTTGAAACCGGGAGGTGGAGGTTGTGGCGAGCCAGGATCGCTCCACTGCACTCCAGCCTTGGCGACACAATGAGACTCCGTCTCTAAATAAATAAATAAATAAAACGTGTAATTCGTTGGTTTTGGGTATATTGAGAGTTATATACATATCACCAGTATATAACTTTAGAAAGTTCCCCTCACCCCAAGAAGAAAGCTTGTCCGTATCAGCAATCACTTCCCATTTTCCCCACAATCCTGGAAACTCTAGACAACCCCTAATCGATTTTCTGTCACTCTGGATTTGCAGCTTGTGAGTGGTTCACATGGAATCATGCAACACATGGTCTTTTGGGACTGGCTTTCACAGATCTTGCTATGTAATGGATAATTTGTATTCAACTACACGACATAAAGAAATGTTCTAGGGCCAGGTGTGATGGCTCATACCTATAATCCCAGCACTTTGTGAGGCCGAGGCAGGAGGATTGCTTGGCCCTAGGAGTTTGAGACTAGCCTAGGCAACGTAGCAAGACCCTGTCTCTAGAAAAAAAAAATTTTTTTTTGAGGCGGAGTTTCGCTCTTGTTACCCAGGCTGGAGTGCAATGGCGTGATCTCGGCTCACCTCAACCTCTGCCTCCTGGGTTCAGGCAATTCTCCTGCCTTAGCCTCCTGAGTAGCTGGGATTACAGGCACGTGCCACCATGCCCAGCTAATTTTTTTGTATTTTTAGTAGAGGCAGGGTTTCACCATGTTGACCAGGATGGTCTCGATCTCTCGACCTCGTGATCCACCTGCCTCGGCCTCCCAAAGTGCTGGGATTACAGGCTTGAGCCACCGTACCACGCAAAAAAAATTTTTTTAACTAGCTTGGCGTGGTGGCACATGCCTGTGGTCCTAGCTACTTGGGAGGCCACGGTAGGAGGATGGTTTAAGCCCAGGAGGTTGATGCTGCAGTGAGCCATGATGACACCACTGCTGGATCACCACTGTGTTCCAGCCTGGGCAACAGAGCAAGACCCTTTCTCAAAAACAAACTATATGTGTGTGTGTGTGATTCAGGGATCAAGTATTCTGACTTAAAGTGCTGTGGTGCTTCATAATGTTTGTGACATAAAATATTGTGATGTTTTGTGTTCTTAATATTTCAGGGCTGCTGAAAAGGGGAATTTTGAAGCTGCTGTGAAGCTGGGCATAGCCTACCTCTACAATGAAGGCCGTAAGTCCTGACCCTGCCTGCATGTTGACGCTTTAGATAAGCGTGAGCCTTTGGCCCTACAAAGTGGTGGTCCCTGTGTTAGTGGTTCGGTTGCTGTTTTTGCTCTATCCGATGGCCTGCCTTCCCATCCCCTCTCAGGAGCTTGTGCCCAGATGTACCTGCTGAGGGACCCGCTAATGATTCTCTGACTTTGTAGGTTACAAGAGAGCCACCTCTGGTTTTAGCAGACCCTTTCATTTCAGTTGGCAAAGAGTGACTAAGCCAGAGCCTCAGCACAGGGGCTGTTTGGGCTCCTGCCCTCTGTGCCATGAGCATGCAGGCCCACATGTGGATGCTGGCCCTCTCCTTGGCCATCCACTGAGAACTCTGAGACAGAGGTCAGTGTGCCAGTTCCACAGTTAGTAATACAGAGCCAAGCTTCTAAACGGGAAGCAGGAACTGGCAGGTTGGAACTGGCCTCGTGTCTGAATCCCTTCATCCCCAGAGGCCAGGTGCTTCTTGAAAGAACCTTGTGCAGCCTTTTCTTCTACCAGTTACCGCTTACTTGCTCAGCACCCCAAGGAATGAGCCCACGACCTGTCCCAGCTCCCAAAACACATAAAGAATGGGGTGTAGCCTGCCACATTCCTACTTCTAAATGATCTGGTGTCTTGCTGGGAGAGTCTCTCCCATTTGCCAACTGGCAGGATTTCAGTGACTGACAGGGAGGGACCATGAGCAACACCCTCCTCCAGGATGGGAGGAGCTGAGGTCCTATCTCCACCTCCCATCAGAGAGCAGTTCCCAGACATAAAATTTCCACACGGTAAAGTTCACCCATCTAAAGTGTGCAACTCTGGCTTTCAGTATATTCACAGGGTCGTGCAGCCATTGCCACTGTCTAATTTTACAATGTTCTCCTCTTCCCAAAAAGAACCCCCACCCCTGCCCTGGACCCATTACCAGGGGTTCAGGAAGCGGTTCCCAGCTGGAGGGAAGATGGGACATGAAGCGTGGCAGGGTCTCCTCCCTCTTACCTTCAGAATCCAGGCTTCCGGGAGGAGTGCAGCAGGGGCGTCGATCACAACGACCCTCCTGTTCCAGACATTAACCAAGTAGGGGGAGAAGAGGCAGGTACCCCCATCCTAGAGGGCTCTTCCCTCCTGAAACACAGCTGCATTGCACTATGGTGGGCTTTAGGCTTTACACTGTCCCCCAAGACCATGCAGAACTTTCCACATTCTGTGCCCAAGAGACATCCCTGGGCCCTGTCCTGTCTCTCCCTGCAGTGTCTGTGTCTGATGAGGCCCGTGCGGAAGTGAATGGCCTGAAGGCCTCTCACTTCTTCAGTCTCGCGGAGCGGCTAAACGCTGGTGCCGTGCCCTTCATCTGGCTCTTCATCCGCCCTCCGTGGTCAGTGAGCGGAAGCTGCTGCAAGGCCGTGGTTCACGAGAGCCTCAGGGCAGAGTGCCGACTGCAGAGGGTGAGTCTGGGCGAGGGGCGAGGGGTGAGCAGCAGCACTTGTGAGGCCACCTGCAGGGTCCCAGGAACACCCTGAAGGTAGACTGGACCCTGGAAAGTTAGGTGCCTAAGGGAAGTGAAGGTACAGAAAACTCAGAGTGCAGATGTAGGGAAATTACCTGGCAGGAGAGGAGGAAGCCTGAGAGCCACGGTGGGCTGCACAGTTCTGGCATACCTGCTGACTGCTGGAAGCCTGGGGCTGAGGCCGCATGCAGCACTTGGAGCTCAAGGCACAGATCTGGCTGGGTGTAGTGGCTCATGGCTGTTATCTAACACTTTGGGAGGCCAAGGTTGGAGAATTGCTTGTGGCCAGGAGTTCAAGACCACCCTGGGTAACATGATGAATCCTTGTCTCTACAAAAAAAATACAAAAATGTTAGCCAGAGGTGATGGTGCATACCTATTGTCCCAGTTACTTAGGAGGCTGAGGTGGGGGGATCAGTTGAGCCTGTTGAGGTTGCTATAAACTGTGACTACACCACTGCACTCTAGCCTGGGTGACAGAGTGAGACCCTGTTTCCATTTAAAAAAAAAAAAGTCTCAAATCTTGGAGTGGCCATCAAGGCCTTGTGTTCTTGGGAGGGAGGGCCAGACAGCAGGGCCATGGGCATGGGACCCAAAGACACACAGACTGGGGAGGGGCGGCCCCTGTCAGTTATTTCTGCTGGAAATCACACTTCTTTCTCCTTTTTTTAAAGACTCACAAAGCATCCATATTGCACTGCTTGGGCAGAGTGCTGAGTCTGTTTGAGGTGAGTCACATTCTCTGCACTTGGACTTTGTGTTTGACACATCCCTAGCCAAGATCCTGGCAGTGAAAAGCAGCAGCAGGGGGCGTCCAAGACCCAAAACAAAAGGCAAGCCTTGCCCAGAAAGGCCTAGCGGGAGAAGCCAGGTGGCACACGTGGTCCGGCAGCAGGCTATGGTCCTGGTTCCATGACCCAGCTGGGGGATGAGTAGGGGCGCTGAGAACTGCAGAGGAGATCGCAGGAGGTGGGCCTCCCCTGCTGCTCATGTGGACCTCTCTGCTCTTGATGTCCTAATGGGCTTTGTGATCCGTAAAGCCCCTTTGGGGAAAATTGCAGGAATGTGGTGGCTTCTAGTGACAGGCATGGCAAATGTGTCAGAGAAGGACACTGAGGAGAAGCCCTGAGAGCCACCACCACTGTCGTGGCAGTTCAGGGCAGTTCCTTTGGCAGCGGTGAGAAGGGCAGGCTTTTGGTGGTACAGAGCTGAACCAGGGATGCTGCAGGCCCAGCCCAAGTGTAAACCTTTCTAGGAAGAGAGCAGGGCTTCTGTGGCTGGAGCTCTGAGTTCATGCTCCTTGCTGGGTGTGGAATGGGGTCTCTGTAGAGAAGTCATTTCTGCTCATGGCATCTCTGTAGAGAAGTCATTTCTGCTCTGATTTCAGTAACTCATTTTATTAAAGCTCAGAGCAATGTGTGTTGCCACTTAAGAGTATGGAGTCCTGGCACAGTGGCTCATGCCTGTAATCCCAACACTTTGGGAGGCCAAGTTGGTGGATCACCTGAGGTCAGGAGTTCGAGACCAGCCTGGCCAATGTGGTGAAACCACATCTCTGTTAAAAAAAAAACACAAAAATTAGCCAGCCATGGTGGTGGGTACATGTAATTCCAGCTACTCAGGAGACTGAGGCGTGAGAGTTGCTTGAACCCAGAAAGTAGAAGTTGTCATGAGCCAAGATTGCACCACTGCAGTTCAGCCTGGGTGACAAAGGGATACTCTGTTTCAACAACAACAAAAATAGCCAGGCACAGTGGCTCATGCCTGTAAACCCAGCACTTTGGGAGGCCAAGGTAGGTGGCCACCTGAAGCCAGGAGTTTGAGACCAGCCTGGCCAACCTGGTGAAACCCTGTCTCTACTAAAATGCAAAAATTAGCAGGGTGTGGTAGCAGGCACCTGTAATCCCAGCTACTCAGGAGTCTAAGGCAGGAGAATTGCTTGAACATGGGAGGCAGAGGTTGCAGTGATCCAAGATCATGCCATTGCACTCCAACTTGTGCCACAAGAGCAAAACTGTCTCAAAAAAAAATAAAATAAAATAAGAAAAGAATGAACTCTGCTGGGATTTATTCTAGGATGAAGAAAAGCAGCAGCAGGCTCATGACCTGTTTGAAGAGGCTGCTCATCAGGGATGTCTGACCAGCTCATACCTCCTCTGGGAAAGCGACAGGAGGACAGATGTGAGTGGAGCCTGCTCTGGGTGGGGCGGAGTTACGCTGGACAAAGGCACAGTTGATGGTGGTCCTTGGATGCGGCTCTGTCTGCAAAAGGGAGGTGGCTCTTGCTACTCCCGGCCTCTCAGCCTCCAGGAGCCACTGGACAGTCGGCTGTTCTTGGCAACCCCCAAAATGACTCCCGCCATTTGAGAGAAGAGGTGGGAAGTTAGCTTAGTGTCGGCCCTTCTGTGTCTTGGTACTCCGTTCCTCCTGAGACACAGCTGTGTAAAGGCCCGATGATCTTCTCCCATTGACAGATGTCAGATCCTGGGCGATGTCTGCACAGCTTCCGAAAACTCAGGGACTACGCTGCCAAGGGCTGCTGGGAAGCGCAGGTGATGTCCGGGGCTGGGATGACGTGGGGAGCTAGCTTTTCTCCCTCCAGCCTTGGGGCAGGACTATCTGGGCTCCCACATGGGAGGCTGGGATTGAGGGATACCATAAGATCAGTTCAGGAGGCTGGGCACAGTGGCTCAGTCTGTAATCCCAGCAGTTTGGGAGGCCAAGGAGGGTAGATCACCTGAGGTCAGGGGTTCAAAGCCAGACTGACCGACATGGAGAAACCCTGTCTCTACTAAAAATACAAAAAATTAGCCAGGCGGGGTGGCAAGTGTCTGTAACCCCAGCTACTTGGGAAGCTGAGGCTGAATTGCTTGAATTGGTAGGCAGAGGTTGCCGTGAGCCGAGATCGCTCCATTGCACTCCAGCCTGGGGGACGATTGAAACTTTGTCTCAAAAAAAAAAAAAAGAAAAAGAAAAAAGGAGATCAGTTCAGGACTGGAACTGAATCTTTTTTTTTTTGAGAAGGAGTCTCACTCTTGTTGCCCAGGCTGGAGTGCAGTGGCACCATCTTGGCTCACCGGAACCTCCATCTCAGGTTCAAGCTATTCTCCTGCCTCAGCCTCCGGAGTAGCTGGGATTACAGGCATGCGCCACCCCGTCTGGCTAATTTTTGTATTTTTAGTAGAGACGTGGTTTCTCCATGTTGGTCAGGTTGGTCTCGAACTGTCAACCTCAGGTGATCTGCCCGCCTTGGCCTCCCAAAGTGCTGGGATTACAGGTGTGAGCCACTGCGCCCAGCATCGGATCTGAGTCTTAAAGGATAGGTACACAGTGTGAAGAGCTGGGAAATGGGATATTAATCTCTCCCCATCCACCCTTACCTCTCAGCCAGCAGCCTCTTAATTTTCAAATGCTTATGAACTACAGCTGCTGTCAAAGTTTGAAAGTTATAACTCTTGAAAGTTATCCCATAAGTAGAACAAAACTTGAGGCTACTTTAGAGCACGTGGAGTCCCTTCCTACTTCCTCTTCCTATTACTGCCTTGCTCGCCATGTCACTTGCTCACCAAGTCATCCAGGGCTAGAGACAGGTCAAGCATTGGTAGACTCTCCCCTCAGAGCTGCAAAGAAGTCGTCAGGGACCGGGCACCATGGCTCACACCTGTAATCCCAGCATTTGGGGAGGCTGAGGCAGGTGGATCACGAGATCAGGAGTCCAGTCCAGACTGACCAACATGGTAAAACCCCATCTCTACTAAAAATACCAAAATTAGCTGGGTGTGGTGGCATACACCTTTAATCCCAGCTTCTCAAGAGACTGAGTCAGGAGAATCACTTGAACCCAGGAGGCGGAGGCTGCAATTAGCTGAGATTATGCCACTGCACTCCAGCCCTGGGCAACAGAGCAAGAGTCTGTCCCCCGTCCCCCACCCTCCCAAAAAAGGAAGTCATCAGGGCCAAGTGCAGTGGGCAGTGGCTCATGCCTGTAATCCCAGCACTCTGGAAGGCCGAGGCCGGGGGTGGGGTGGGGAGATCATATGAGGTCACGGGTTTGAGATCAGCATGATGACACACTGTCTCTACTAAAAATACAAAAATTATCTGGGCATAGTGGCGGGTACCTGCTGCTCAGGAGGCTGAGGCAGGAGAATCACTTTAACCTGGGAGGCAGAGGTTGCAGGGAGCTGAGATTGTGCCACTGCACTGCAGTCTGGGCAGATCAAGCCTGTCTCAAAAAAAACCAACACAAAAAGAAGTTGTCAGGACAAATCAAAGAAAGCCCCTCTGTGAAATAGATAGAAGCTTGTTCTTGTCACCCTACCAAGTGGGTGGCAGAGTGACCTGTGCTCACATGCTAGGAACAAAATTACAGATTGATAATGGCCCAGCCCGACGTGTTACGGCACTGTGGTGTTCTTGTCCAAAATGTCAGTCAACAGATTTACAAGAAGACCAGGAGTGGTGGCTCATTCCTGTAATCCCAATGGAGGTTGAGTTGGGAGGATCACTTGAGCCCAGGAGTTCAAGACCGGCCCTGGCAACATAGTGAGACCCCATCTCGACAAAAAAATTCTAAAATTAGCTGGATGTGGTGGTGTGTGCCTTATAGTCCCAGCTACTCAGGCAGGAGGATCTCTTGAGCTCAGGAAGTCAAGGCTGCAGTGAGCCGTGATCACACCACTGCTCTTCAGTCTAGGCTACAGAGGGAGACCCTATCTCAACAAAGTTTTTACAAGAAATGCACCAATATAGGTCTGTTGGAAACTCAGGGTAATCAGTAAGAATAGAAAGACCCTGATGGAAGTTGAGAGGGCCTCAGTTGATTGTCAAAAAAGAGGAAATAGGGCCGTGCTCAGTGGCTCACATTTATAATCCCAGCACTTCGGGAGGCCAAGGCCGGAGGATCACTTGAGGCCAGGAGTTCTCTCTCCATTGCCTGGGCTAGACCTCAATGGTGTGATCTCAGCTCACTGCAACCTCTGCTGCCTGGGTTCAAACGTTCTGAGTAGCTGGACTACAGGCACCTGCCACCACACCCAACTAACTTTTGTATTTTTAATAGAGACGAGGTTTTGCCATGGTGGCCAGGCTGGTCTCGAACTCCTGACCTCAAGTAATCTGCCTGCCTCGGCCTCCATAAGTGCTGGGAATACAGGGGTGAGCCACTGAACCTGGCCAAAAAAATAATAATTAATAAATCAAAAGAGGAAATAAGCTGGTTAGAAATTGGAATGTTCAACCTTACCTACTAGTCGTAAGTGCACTTTTTTTTTTTTTTGAGACGGAGTTTCGCTCTTGTTACCCAGGCTGGAGTGCAATGGCGCAATCTCGGCTCACCGCAACCTCCGCCTCCTGGGTTCAGGCAATTCTCCTGCCTCAGCCTCCTGAGTAGCTGGGATTACAGGCACGCGCCAACATGCCCAGCTAATTTTTTGTATTTTTAGTAGAGACGGGGTTTCACCATGTTGACCAGGATGGTCTCGATCTCTTGACCTCGTGATCCACCCGCCTCGGCCTCCCAAAGTGCTGGGATTACAGGCTTGAGCCACCGCGCCCAGCCATAAGTGCACTTTAAATGAGATATTTTGGGCTGATCACATTAGCAAATTTTATGTATATGTTTTTGAGTGGCTAGCTAGTAACTTCTGAAAATAGCTGTTTTTAATAATCACAGTGTTTGGTGGTATGAAGCTGTGATGAAGCAGGTTCTCCTAATCCTGAGTGTAAACATTGGCATAAGCCTTTCAGAGAGCATTGGGGCATGTGGCCAGAGACTTAACACAGCTGCCCCAGGCATTAACCATGTAAGGAACTGAGACCTGAACCAGGGTGGAAAGGCAACTGATATTTCATGATACATCATGTCATCTCTTTCTTATTCAAAAAAGAATAATAATTAAAATCTGAGGCCAGGCACAGCGACTTACGCCTATAATCCCAGCACTTTGGGAGGCTGAGGCAGGTGGATCACGGGGTCAGGAGGTTGAGACCATCCTGGCCAACATGGTGAAACCCAGTCTCTACTAATATACAAAAGATTAGCCAGGCGTGGTAGTGTGCACCTGTAGGCCCAGCTACTTGGGAGGCTGAGGCAGGGCAATTGCTTGGACCCAGGAGGTGGAGGTTGCACTAAGCGAGATCACGCCACTACACCCCAGCCTGGCAACAAAGCAAGACTGCATCTCAACAACAACAAAAGCCCTAGTCAGCCTCGTTCCCAAAGCTTGCAAAGGTTTAAGTTTAAGGAGGGCCATGTTTCCACATGCGTTTGCGCCCTGAATGACCCTTTGCTTCAGAAACGGAAAACCGCAGCATGGCTGCTGCCTCACGTTCTTATTTGTCTTTTCCTCCTCAGCTGTCTTTAGCCAAAGCCTGTGCAAATGGAAACCAGCTTGGACTGGAGGTGAGAGCTTCCAGTGAGATCGTCTGCCAGCTGTTTCAGGCCTCCCAGGCTGTCAGTAAGCAGCAAGTCTTCTCTGTGCAGAAGGGACTCAATGACACAATGAGGTGAGGCCTTCAGGCCGGGGCGTCTAATCAGAGTAGAGAGGCAGCCAGCCTCCAGAGGAAGGGAGCCCTTTCCACTTAACCCCAGTCACCTGCCACTGGGCAGCATAGAGTCCCCTTTATCACCTCACCAGATACCCCCATTTGGGTGTTTTTTAGAACTGGTAATGCCTAAGTTATCATGGACTTTTTGGAAGAAAACATCCTACTCTGCTTTCTTCAGTTACCTTTTTTTTTTTTTTTTTTTTTTTTTTTTGAGACGGCGTCTGACCCTGTCACCCAGGCCAGAGTGCAATGGCATGATTTCAGCTCACTGCAGCCTCTGCGTCCCAGGCTCAAGTGATCCGTCCACCTTACCCTTCTTAGTAGCTAGGACTGCAGGTGTACACCACCACGCACAGCTAATTTTTGTATTTTTCGTAGAGACAGGATCTCACTATGTTGCCCAGGCTAATCTTGAACTCCTGGGCTCAAGTGATCCTCCTGCCCAGTCTCTCACAGTGCAGTGATCTTTTTCAAGCTACAGAACACATTGAACACTTTTTTTTTTTTTTTTTTAAAGATAGGCTTTCTGTCACCCAGGGTGGAGTGCAGTGGTGTGATCTCCACTCACTGTGATTTCCACCTCCTGGGCTCAAGCTTTCCTCCCACCTTCGTCCCCCAATTAGGACTACAGGCATCACACCTGGCTAATTTTTATACATTTTGTTGAGATGGGGTTTTGCCACGTTGGCTAGGCTGGTCTCAAACTCCTGGCCTCCGGCGATCTGTCTGCCTCGGCCTCCGAAAGCACTGAAATTACAGGCGTGAGTTACTGTTTGCAGCCTCCATTGAATGTCTCAAACACCATCTGAGATGGCAAGATTCGTATTCCCAAAGCTGAGACACAGCGTCTTGCAAGTATCAGTATGTCACATGAAACTCAGTGACCCTCAGGAGCCCTGCCATCCAGGGCAGCTGCCATGCTAACCACCAAATCACAGAATGCATTACAGGGTAAAATGGAAAGCATGAGTGATTTTTCAACTTTACACATGAGATTTCAGATACAGTTTGCATTTACAATGGGAAGCCTCTGGTTACCCAGTCAGCAAACACCCAATGCATAATAAGCACTCAGTAAACATTTACATATTTACAAAATGATCAGGCCTGGCATGGTGACTCACACCTGTAATCCTAGCTTTTTTTTTTTTTTTTTTTGAGACAGAGTCTTGCTCTGTCACCCAGGCTAAGAGTGCAGTGGTGCGATCTTGGCTCACTGCAGCCTCCCAGATTCAAGTGATTCTCCTGCCACAGCCTTCTGAATAGCTGGGATTATAGGCATGTTTCATGACACCTGGCTAATTTTTATATTTGTAGTAGAGACAAGGTTTCACCATGTTGACCAGGCTGGTCTCGAACTCTTGTCCTCAAGTGATCTGCCCACCTCAGCTTCTCAAAGTGCTGGGATTATAGGTGTGAGTCACCACACCCGGTCAATCCTAGCATTTGGGACTCTGAGGAGGGAGGATCACTTAAGCCCAGGAATCTAAGACCAATCCCATCTCTATTTTTAAAAAAGAACTATCATCCCTTCCCCAAGAGAGGGCTGATGTTCCTTTCTGACAGACGCACATTCACACTCACACATTGTCTTAGGGATATAGTACCCCTTTTGCCCTACATTCAGTGACACTGGCCAGGTGCTGTGTCTCACACCTATCATCCTAGCACTTTGGAAGGCCAAGGTGGGAGGATCACTTAAGGCCAGGAGTTGAAGGCTGCATTGAGCTAGGATCATGCCACTGTACTCCAGCCTGGGCCACAAGGCAAGACTCTGTCCTCAAAAATATATATACATATATTTTTTAAATGGCACCAGGCTGTAGTGCTGTTGAGTTCTATACTGCCTGTGTGGTGGTGGCAGCCCCCTTCCCTTTTTCCGTTGGAAGGAATAGACTGATAACACCTTCTAACCTTCTTGGTCTGCTCTTTCTTTCTTTTTTTTTTTTTTTTTTTTTTTTTTTGGTTTGTTGATACTTGTGTGTGTGGGCTGCTTTTTTTTTTTTTTTTTTTTTTTATAATTACCAGGGAGATGCAGCTTCTGATATAAAGTGAAGGTGCATTCCTCATTTTAAAGTATGCAATTCTGTGGTCTATTTTTATTTTTTTATTTATTTATGAGACGGAATCTCACTCTGTTGCCCAGGCTGGAGTACAATTGGGTGATCTCGGCTCACTGCAACCTCTGCCTCCCGGGTTCAGGCGATACTCCTGCCTCAAACCTCTTGAATAGATGGGATTCCAGGTGCCTGCCACTACACCTGGCTAATTTTTGTATTTTTAGTAGAGATGGGGTGTCACCATTTTGACTAGGCTGGTCTTGAACTCCTGACCTCATGGTCCACCCACCTCAGCTTTCCAGAGTGCTGAGATTACAGGTGTCAGCCACCGTGCCCAGGCCTGTTTTTATTTATTTATTTATTTTGAGATGGAATCTTGCCCTGTTGCCCAGACTGGAGCATAGTGCCATGATTTTAGCTTACTGCAGCCTGCACCTGCTGGGTTCAAGCAATTCTCCCATCTCAGCCTCCTGAATAGCTGGGTCTATAAGCATGCACCACCACACCTAGCTAATTTTTGTATTTTTTGGTAGAGACAGGGTTTCGCCATATTGGCCAGGGTGGTCTTGAACTTCTGACCTCAAGTGATCTGCCCTCCTCGGCCTCCCAAAGTGCTGGGATTACAGGCATGAGCCACTGTGCCCAGCCCAGTGGTTGTTTTTAGAAGTCAGATCATTAAGCTTGTTAAATCCACCTGCTTTGAGTAAGCTTCCTAGTCTGTTCACAGTAGCCGCCAGTTTAAATCTTAAACACCTGACCCTTGCATGGTCTCTGTTCTAGGAGGAAGTAGACTGATCTGCTTCTCCTCTGCCCTTCTTTTCATGCTTCGGCTCATCTTCCTCTCCTCCCCTCCACCACTGAAGATGCTTCTGTCTGGGATGACACCTGACACCTGCTCTGCCTGTCCAGCAGAATCGCACTTCCTCCCATTCCTCTATCACATTCTGTTCACTCTGACCCCTCTGCTTGAAGACAGGCGTCTGCAGCTGGGTGTGGTGGCTCATGCTTGTCATCCTAGCACTTTGGGAGGCTGAGGAAGGCAGATCACCTGAGGTCAGGAGTTCAAGACCAGGCTGGCCATCATGGTGAAACCCTGTCTCCACTAAAAATAAAAAAAATTAGCCAGGTGTGGTGGCGCACATCTGTAGTCTCACCCACTAGGGAGGCTGAGGCAGGAGAATCGCTTGAACCCAGGAGTTGGAGTTTACAGTGAGCTGAGATTGTGCCATTGCACTCCAGCCTGGGTGACAGAGTGAGACACTGTTAGAAAAAAAAGAAAAAGACACAAGTGTCTCCATTCTATTCAGAAAGGCATTTATCATATTGGGTATCCTGTGGCATTCCCTTGCAACTGTCTACCTTCCCCTGGTACCTGCACACCCCAAGGTGCAGGGTTGATTGCTACATAAAAAGCTATGGGCTGACTTTTTGCTCTGCATGAGGTTGAGGTCTCATAGTGCTTGTGTTTTGGAACACTGGGAATGTGTGGTCCTCTAGGAGGGAGACCGGTGCACAGGTGTGCAAGTCTGTCCACCTCCCAGGAACACCATCAAAGGGTGTGGGGCCTGCTTTGGGGCTAGGACCCACCGAGCCTCCCAGGCTTCCTGGGACATGGCCTCCCCAGCCTGAGTCCCAAGGTAAATCCATGATTCTAGAGCTACCCAGGATTTGGTCAGGCCCAACAGGTGGGATTGCAATTGCAAACAGGGACGCGTGAAGAACGCCTGCCCTTGTTCCAGCTGCTGCTCTATCCACAGGTACATTCTGATCGACTGGCTGGTGGAAGTCGCCACCATGAAGGACTTCACGAGCCTGTGCCTGCACCTGACCGTGGAGTGTGTGGACCGCTACCTGCGGAGGAGGCTGGTGCCGCGATACAGGCTGCAGCTGCTGGGCATTGCCTGCATGGTCATCTGCACCCGGTGAGAAGCCCCCTCCGTCTGGCCAGCAGGGACATACTGGTCCTCTCTGGGTTCAGGGGCACCGCCCTTCATATGCTCCTCACTGGTTCTTTTGTTTTTGTTTTTGTTTTGAGATGGAGTCTCACTCTTTCACCCAGGCTGGAGTGCAGTGGCGCAATCTCGACTCACTGCAATGTCCGCCTCCCAGGTTCAAGCAGTTCTCCTGTCTCAGCCTCCTGAGTAGCTGGGACTACAGGCACCCACCACCACACCCAGCTAATTTTTATATTTTTAGTAGAGATGGGGTTTTACCATGTTGGTCAGGCTGTTCTCAAACTCCGGACCTCAGGGATCCACCTGCCTCGGCCTTCCAAAGTGCTGGGATTACAGGCATGAGCCCCTGTGCCTGACCCTCATGGGTTCTTGAGTCATGAGCCGCCTGGTCAGACATGAAGTGCTGAGCTGAGAGCCCTCCGCAGGCAGGGGTGGCAGAACGGCCCTCGGCATTTGAGGGTTGCTCTGTGGGGCACCTGCATCCAGGCATTTTGTCATGGCACAGCATCTAGGACCCAGAGTGTGGCCTCACTCTGGCAGCCACAGGTTAGACCCCCTGTCCCCTGGCTCCGGAGGGCCTCAGGGTGACTGATTAGGGAGGGTGGCAGTCAGCTGCCCTTCTGTGAAGTTGGGTTCTGAAGTCTGTTGCCAGAGTTTCCTATACTCCTGGAGTCAAAGGTTTTTTGTCCTCCACTGGTGCCCTGCAGCGCCCACTCCAACCACAAAGGTGGCTCTCAGCTGCAGGGTGTGTCCTCACACGGTAGCCTGTACTTTTCATATCAGATCGCTGCTTTCCTTTATCCAATGCTGGATCCCCTAGTTCCGCCTATGGAAATAGTGTGGAAATGATTCTCATAATATGTTTTGCATTTCCTAAACCAGCTGTCCCCAGCATGGTCTACATTTCCCTTGGAAGTGCTTTCCAGACCAACCGATCTGTAGCGCCTGGTGGGCGAGGATAGGTTCCCTGCACACAGCTTATGTGTACGCTACAGAGACTTGTTTCTCTCTTGCATAAGTACCCCAGAGGCAGAGGGTCCAGGCTCAGGTCATGGGGATGATTTTTGTTTCACGAGGAAGCAAAGGAAGCCCATCTCCCATCTTAATCTCTGCTGCCAATTAGGGTGCTCCCCTTGTCCCTGGGACACCTGTACCTGTCACATTTACCTTTGCACTGAGCCTAGTCTTGTGGCCACATCTCACTAGCAGGAACCAGGAAGTGTAGTCTCTGGGCCTGCGTGTTGCAGCAGCTCGAAGCAGTGTCATTCCCATGGAAAGAGGGAGCAGCCCCTGCTGCAAGCATCCAGAGCCATCTTCAGATGTGCTCTTCAGCCTGAATCCAGAATCCCAGGTCTTTTGACCTGAGAAGGTGGAGTGGCTGCCTCCCTGTGTCTAACTGCGTATCCCTCACTGCAGCCTATCACCAAGCTCCTGGGCGGCAAACAGGCTGGCCATGAGAGAATAACGCTAAAAGCGTTTCAGGGAGCTGAGTTCACGACCACAAGACTGGTTGCAGTGGTCCATATAACTATCACCATGGCTCCCTCAAATAACGTCTGCCTTACTCTCTTTGTATTGTTTTCCTAAGTGGGTGTTGCAGGCACAGTGGCTCATGTCTGTAATCCCAGCACTTTGGGAGGCTGAGGTGGGCAGATTGCCTGAGTTTAGGAGTTTGAGACCAGCCTGGTCAACACAGGGAAACCCTGTCTACCAAAAATACAAAAAAAAATTAGCTGGGCGTGGTAGTATGCACCTGTAGTCTCAGCTACTCGGGAGGCTGAAGCATGAGAATCACTTGAACCTGCGAGGCGGAGGTTGCAATGAGCCAAGGTCGTTCAGCTGTACTAATTCAGCCTGAGTAGTGACAGAGGCCAACTCTGTCTCCAAAAAAAAAAGAGTCTGAAAGGCTGAGCAGCTTCCCACCTCTGCTCTCAGACCAGCACCTTCCTTGCCCCACCACCCACCTCACACCCCATGTGGGGCTCTTGTTGGCCACTCACGTCTCGTCTTTTTGGCATCTGCAACCCCCACACTGGCAGGCGTGGTCGTTGTGCCTCTTGTCCTCTCGGTCAAGCTAATGGCACACGCAACCTGCAGAGGCCCCAGGACGGAGCAGCCAAGGGACTTGGCCTGAGTCCCAGGGGAAGGTGCTTTGGGGGCCGCTGGAGCAGCATGTTCCCTGATAGTTGGTGCTGGTAGATGGCAGAGAACAGGGTGATCACTGCCTGGAGACAGTCAGGATTTCTGCGGCCACACAGTGCCAGGCACAGACTTTGCAACAATCTTTGGGCACTTTGTCTTGAATTCCTAGATGTGGTGGTTCACCCACATTCTGAGTCTAAAACATTTCCACCCCACTCATAGAGCTGTCGCGTGACAGGCAAGTCTCCGTCCTTGGTGTTTTTCAGCAAACTGAATGCTCTTGGCACTCGGGCCTTTTGCAGACGTTTGTGAGTCTGCCTAACAGCCCTGCAGCTTTCTGTCTGCCTTGTGGTTCTCATCCCTCTTTCCAGTACTTTCTGACCTCCTCCTGTTATTATTATTATATACCTTTTTGTTTTGTTTTGTTTTTTGAGACGGTCCTGAGTGCAGTGGTGTAATCACAGCTCACTGCAGCTGTGACTTCCTGGGCTGAAGCAGTTCTCCCACCTCAGCCTCCCCTAGGAATATAGATGCATGCCGCCATGCTCTGCTAATTTTTTATTTTTTAACCTTTTGTAGAGATAGCGTCTTGTTTTGCTGCCCAGGGTGGTCTCAAACTGCTGGCTGAGCTTTCCTCCTGCCTGGGCCTCCCCTAGTCATCCGCAGGCAGCTGGGTCCATTATGTAACCTCCTTTTGTCACCAAAGCCTAAGCCATGGCTCCCTCACTACCTTGAAGCCTCCTAAAGCCTTGCGTCCCTGCATCCCACCCCTGCCTCAGGAAGTGGGCCCTGCACTGAGACCCCTTCTCGGCGTTGCAGGTTCATCAGTAAAGAGATCCTGACCATCCGGGAGGCTGTGTGGCTCACAGATAACACGTATAAGTATGAGGACCTGGTGAGAATGATGGGCGAGATCATCTCCGCCCTGGAAGGGAAGATTCGAGTAAGCAGTTGTTCCATTTTCCTCGTTAATCTTAGTGTCCCTGTGCCGGAGGGTGGGGTGGGGGGCATGCAGCTTTCCTGCTGTGGGAGGGCCTCATGGACCCAGAGGGCAGCTGTTTCTGCTGTGCCCAGAGCCATGGAGCAGGAGGCCACAGTTGCACCATATCGCCATCTGCATTGGTGCCCTCCACGTACAGCATTGGTGTGAACATCATCCGGGCCACACCCTACACTGGGTTTGCACGCGGCATTGCACAAATGAGCTCCGAGCACTGAGAGCCCACACCCACTCCCTGCTGCCTAGGTCCCCACTGTGGTGGATTACAAGGAGGTCCTGCTGACGCTAGTCCCTGTGGAGCTGAGAACCCAGCACCTGTGCAGCTTCCTCTGCGAGCTCTCCCTGCTGCACACCAGCCTGTCTGCCTACGCCCCGGCCCGCGTGGCTGCCGCAGCCCTGCTCCTGGCCAGACTGACACATGGGCAGAGTAAGGAGCGGCCTTTCCCGGGGATGCCTGTGTCAGGGAGGGTACTCACATAGGAGGAGGCTGTGGGGAGGAAGACAGTCCAGCCTCCATTTGTCCCGGTTACCTCTGGTGGGGCGAGGTACAGCACAGCTCCTAGCTTCAGTATGTCCCAGATTTCTGACCTTGAGCCTGCACGTACTGTGTGTTTTTTTCAAAACTATTTTTAAAAGATTGTAACTCTGAGGTCCAGGAAACTCCACAGCAGAACCCACAGAGCTACCGGGTGGGAGTGGTCAGGTGGCTGTTACCATGGCCCCTCCATCCCCTCCATCCCTGGCCTGCTCTCCTCCCCAGCACAGCCCTGGACCACTCAGCTGTGGGACCTCACCGGATTCTCCTATGAGGACCTCATTCCCTGCGTCTTGAGCCTTCATAAGAAGTGGTGAGTACGAAGGAAGTGAGTCCTCGGACTAGGCTGTGCCACAGTGGGTAGGGCTCGCGCCCCTTTAAGGGCATCTGCTTCCTCCTAAGACAACTGGCAGTCACATGCAGATCCTCCTTCAGTGAACGAGGTACAGGAGGTCTTCCTAAGAGCTGATGTTTAAAAATTCTGGCTGGCACTTTGGGAGGCCAAGGCAGGCAGATTATTTTAGGTCAGGAGTTCAAAATCAACCTGGCCAACATGGTGAAATCCCACCTCTACTAAAAATATAAAAATTAGGCCGGGCGCGGTGGCTCAAGCCTGTAATCCCAGCACTTTGGGAGGCCGAGGCGGGTGGATCACGAGGTCAAGAGATCGAGACCATCCTGGTCAACATGGTGAAACCCCGTCTCTACTAAAAATACTAAAAATTAGCTGGGCATGGTGGCGGGTGCCTGTAATCCCAGCTACTCAGGAGGCTGAGGCAGGAGAATTGCCTGAACCCAGGAGGCGGAGGTTGCGGTGAGCCGAGATCGCGCCATTGCACTCCAGCCTGGGCAACAAGAGCGAAACTCCGTCTCAAAAAATAAATAAATAAATAAAAATAAAAATAAAAATTAGCCAGGCGTGGTGATACATGCCTGTAACTCCAGCTACTCAGGAGGCTAAGGCACAAGAATTGGTTGAACTCAGGAGCTGGAGGTTGCAGTAAGTTGAGATCACGCCACTGGACTCCAGCCTGGGTGACAGAGCAAGACTCTGTCTCCAAAAGAAAAGAAAAGAAAACTGCCCTGGCGTGGTGGCTCATACCTATAATCCCAGCACTTTGGGAGGCCAAGGCAGGCAAATCACTTGAGGTCAGGAGTTCGACACCAGACTGGTCAACATGGTAAAACCCCATCTCTGCTAAAAACACAAAAATTAGCTGGGTGTAGTGGCACACGCCTGTTATCCCAGCCACTTGGGAGGCTGAGGCAGAAGAATCGTTTGAACCCGGGAGGTGGGGGTTGTAGTGAGCCGAGATTGTACCCTTGCACTCCAGCCTAGATGACAGAGTAAGACTGTGTCTCTCCCCACAAAAAAAAATTCCAGGCCTTTCTTTTTTCACACCTTTTTCACATTTAGAGCATCTGCTCCCGACCCAAGCTTGCTGCATAGGCAACAGAACATGCTAGAAGAGATGAGGGCATCTCCCTGACCTGTGGTAACTTGCGTGTGTGACAGATTGTCATCTAGCTCAGGTGGTGGCACACCGTGGCCCCAGGCCACATCTGGCCGCTTTTGTGAATGGGGTTTTCTTGGCAGCAGCCATCCTCATTGGTTTCCACGTCGTCTGCAGCTGTTCTTGCTCTGGCAGTGGCTGAGTTCATAGTGTAGCAAAGACCACGTGGTCCCCAGTGGGAAAATACATACTCCCTTGCCTTGAGAGAATGGCTTCTGCCCTGGTGTAGCTGTTGGGATAGAACGATCTTCCATCTCACTGAGAAGACGGAGCCTGCAGGCGGGTCCCTTGTCCCTTCGTGTCCAGCTGTGGCCTCCTGTCTGCCCCAGCCCCTCTGGGCTTCTCTACCTGCCCTGGCCCCTCTGCCCTACTATCTGCTGGGCCTGGCCCAGCCCTCACTGTATCTGAGCCCTTTCACTTGCCCTGGCAGCTTCCCTTAAGCCCACATTGGTTTGTTCCAAGCAGTCCATGAAGCCTGCACCATGGGTGGGGCACTGGGGGAGAGGCCAGGACAACAGAGTTCAGAGGTCAGGTTGTGACAGGAGAAACAGCAGGCCAGTGCAGGTCAGGCAGCACGGGTGGGTGTAGCTCCGTGTACGGAGTGCGGCTGGGGGCATCTGAGCATCTGAGTCCCAAGCAAAGGGGGCAGCCATGCCAGGGCTCAGTGCAGACCAGCTGGGCCGGGGCCGTGAGTGGAATCCTGGCAGTGAGGGGCACGGAGGATGCGCATGGGGCTGAGTTTGCGTCCGGCCAGGCCACCTCCCTCTCCCCTCCTCAGCTGTGCTCACAGACTTGCTCCTCCCACCTCTTGGCACCCCCACTCCCTAGTCTTCCCCCTTCCCTGCTTCTGCCATGACCTCCCTTTCCTCAGTCAAATCCAGCAGACTCAGCTGGTGTGAGCTTTATTTTTCCTTTTTTTGAGTTGGGGGACCAGACTGGAGTGCAGTGGTGCCATTCTAGCTCACTGCAGTCCTGACCTCCCTGGCTCAAGGGGTCATCTCGCATCAGCCTCCCGAGTAGCTGAAACCACAGATGTCATCACACAGGCCCAGGTGGGCTTTTCTCCAGCCGGCCTTACGTTGACCTTCCCTCCCTCGGGGGCCTCAGCTTCCTGAACTAGACCTTGCGGCATGGGCGGTGGTCTCTCTTCTCCCCTACCCAAAGGGGCCAGGGAATTCTGGCTTTCTGCCACTCCTCAGACTCCTTTCCTGGGAGACTTCACCACTTCCAGGATTCAGACCACATCTCAACCTCAACCTGCCACCCTCCTGCCAGCATGACTCAGCCAATGGCCTGTTTTAGCCTTGGTGTTGTGCACGAAGCCCTGTTCTCTGAGCCGAGCCCTCCACCAGCCTTGGCTGCTTCTCCATCCCTGCACCCTCGCCAAAGCACTTTCCTCTTGCACTCACAGCCTGGGGGCTGGAGCTATACTTGGTGGCTGCCCGGCCTCCTGGAGTACTGTGGCGGCTGCCCTGCACAAGTCCTGTGTGTGCCACCCAGGGCCTTACTGTCGGTTTCCACGATGAGACCAGAACTCCCCGGGGGTTCCGATGCCCCTGAGCAGCCCCTTCTCTGGCCCATCTGCTGTTTCTCCCCGATGTTGTGCTGCAGCCATGTGGTTCCTGGTGCCATCTCCAGGGCTTTGGCCTATGCTTCTGCTCATGGTGCTTTCTTCTGCAGTGCCCAGACCCTGTGCCTTCTGGGCAAGGAGCAAGGGTGACAGTGGAAGGGTCAGTGTGGATCTCACCCCCTACCTTCGTTTACGGGGAGCACAGATCATCCCCCAACACTGGCTGTTTCTGGGTTGTGTTTATTCTCTTCTTCCTGAAGAAGTTAATTTTTTTTTTCCAAACCAGATAAATTAGAAACATTTATTTACAAACTAAACTTCCTTTTATTGTGTGATTTAATGGGCTTTTAGTTTATTCACAGTTGTGCTTGTCATCACAACAATCACATTTAGAACATTTTCACATCCCCAAAAGGGACAACATACCCCTCAGCTGTCACGCTCCAATTCCCTGAAACTGCCTTAGCCCTAGACGACCCCCAGTGGTCTACTTTCTCTCCACGGATTTTCCCCTTCTGGACATTTTGTATAAATGGAGTCACAGGACAAGTGGCCTTTTGTGTGTGGGTTACCTCCCTGGGTGTCATGTTTGTGGGTCTGTCCATGTTGTGGCATGTGTCCCTGCTTTGTTCCTTTCATAGTTGAATAATACGCCACTGCATGGACCACATGTGTTTAACCTGCAGCTGGTGGACATTTTGCCTTTTGCCAACAGTCCTGCGATGAACATTCTAGTACAGGTTTCTACGTGGACATAGGTTTTCGTTTTTCCTGGGTCTCTACCCAGAGGGAAATTGCTGGGTCTTATGGTGGCTGCGTTTAACTATTTGGGGAACTACCAGGTCAGATTCCAGAGTGACTACACCATTTTGCATTCTCATTGCTCACGTGGGCGAACTGAGGCCAAAAATGGGGTGGGGGTGCCTTACATGTCCACTCCATGTGACTCTTTCCAGCTTCCACGATGACGCCCCCAAGGATTACAGGCAGGTCTCTCTGACTGCCGTGAAGCAGCGATTTGAGGACAAGCGTTACGGGGAGATCAGCCATGAAGAGGTGCCTCCCTCCCGACACCTGGGCATCTCGTGGGGCGCCGGGCTGTGGGTGGGCTTGTCCTCAGGGCCTCTGTGCCCTCTAACTCTGACTTCCCCTCAGGTGCTAAGCTACAGCCAGTTGTGTGCGGCATTAGGAGTGACACAAGACAGTCCTGAACCCCCAACCTTCCTCAGCACAGGAGAGATCCATGCCTTCCTCAGCTCTCCCTCAGGGCGGAGAACCAAACGGTTAGTGATCCCTCGTCCCAGCCCCGTTCCCTCAGCGGTGCCGCTTCCTCACACAGAGAGGCCCTCAAGGCTTGTCAGGGGAGCAGCATATCCCAGGACAGCAACCCTGGGACAGAGCCCCGCTGTCAGGCCCTGGGCCCCTGCAAAACCTCCACTGTCTCCAGCTCAGGTCTTCTTCCTCCGGGGCTGTTGTCTCGCTCTGATTGGGCTCCTTATGGATGGTTTGAGCATGGCCCAAGCTCCAGCTCCAACCTGACCCCAGCTCCAGCCCTCCCCATGCCTGTCATGTGCATCCTGGGCTTCTCTGGTCCACGATGCCACAGTCACTCCAGCGCTCCGGTTGTAACCTATTCCCATCCCCAGCACTTCCCTCGCCACCTCTGTGGACCTGTGGGCCTGCCTCTCCTATCTCAGTAGCTTGGCTGTTCCTCCTGGAGTTAACTTCCCCTCTCCACCTCACCCAGCTGGAAAACTTCTATCCAGCAAAGCCCAAATGAGCAGGGCCCTCCCTGTGCTGCTGGCCTGCCTCTGTGACTCCTCAGCACCATGTGCACCCATGAGCTTCCCAAGGGCAGGCACTGGGTGACTATCAATACAGGACCAGGCAGGGCTTCCTCTAAGAGTGTTGTGTGGGAGTGGGCCCCTGGGAGGAGACCCTAAACTTCTGGGAGCCCTGGGGAAGCAGCTAAAGCCCCTGCTGCTGCCACTTTCTCCCTGAGAATCATGACAGCACTTTGCCTTGTACAGAAGGCAGGAGACCTGGCCCTCCTATTTCACTCCTCACACACACCCTGACTCTCCTGGGACAGGGTCATCACAAGGAAAGTCCATGCAGATACACACTGCTACTCCAGGAGGGGGCCTGGCCCTGGCCCTGTGCTCAGCCTCACTGTGTCAAACCCGCTTCTCAGAGGCCCCTCACAACCCCATCCGTCTTCTGAGAGAGACCCTCATGGATGACACAGGGGTAGTTCTCCCCACCCTGCCTTCCTACCAGGCCCTGGGATCAGGAAGTGGACAGGCTTGGCTGGTGTGGTGGCTTTTCCCAGGCTCAGGCTCATACTCTGGTCTCCAGCCCCATCCTGTGCAAGACTTCGCCCCATCCTGTGCAAGACTTCACCCCAGCTGGGTGTGGGTGCGAGCACTGTCCAAGGCCAGACCACATTCCATGCAGTCTGCCTGGCACTGGGCTGAGCACTACCTGTCCCTTAACAGTCAACACCAGAGGGGCCAAGTGTGGTGGTTCACCCCTGTAATCCCAGCACTTTGGGAGGCCCAGGCAAGTGGATCACTTGAGGTCAGGAGCTCAAGACCAACCTGGCCATCATGGTGAAACCCCATCTCTACTAAAAAATACAAAAGTTAGCTGGGTGTGATGGTGGGCATCTGTAGTCCTACCTACTGAGGAAGCTGAGGCAGGAGAATCGCTTGAACCCAGGAGGCAGAGGTTGCAGTGAGCCAAGATTGCACCACTGCACTGCAGCCTGGGTGACTGAGCAAGACTCCACCTCAAAAATAAAATAAAATAACTGGAGAGTGGCATCATCCTAGGGGTTTCCAAGGGACCAGATGGTTGGCACAGGCCCCACAGCTGAGCTGGGTGTGCCGGGGTTCACACCCAGACCTGGGGACTAAGTTTGCCCGAGCTGCCCTCCACGTCAGCCCTGCCTCAAGGGCTTATACCTGTTCTAGCTTCATTGGCATTTTGTATGCAGCAGACTCTTTGGGAGCACACGGTGATGGGCCAGGGCATGCAGGTGTTAGAGGCAGGTGCGGAGGACCCAGCCTCCCAGCACTGCCACCCATGACCGGGTCTCCTGGGCTGTCTCCCCCTTGCAGGAAGCGGGAGAATAGCCTCCAGGAGGACAGGGGCAGCTTTGTCACCACCCCTACTGCGGAGCTGTCCAGCCAGGAGGAGACGCTGCTGGGCAGCTTCCTCGACTGGAGCCTGGACTGCTGCTCTGGCTACGAAGGCGACCAGGAGAGTGAGGGCGAGAAGGAGGGTGATGGTGAGTGTGCAGCTGGGGTACACTTGAGGGAACATTGCACAGACAGCAGCCCTCACTAAGGGCCTCCACGCACCTGGCCCTGTGCGTGTGCTGGGGGAGGGAGGAGGATGTGCACAGAGCAGGGCCTGCTGGGTGGGGCCAGCTCCTGCCCTACAGGGGAGCATGTCCAGACACTAGCAGAGTGAGAGGAGGGGAGAGCCCCCAAAACACCCCAGCTCAGGGCTCCTCCCACCGCACAGGGACCAGAGGACTTAGGCTACACCTATCCAGCTCCTGCTGATTCTGTGTTGGGAGGACCTTACTAGGATTGCGGAGGTAGAGGCCCAGTCTGGAGCTGATGATAAGATCTTTCTAGGCCAGGTGTGGTGGCTCATGCCTATAATCCCAGCGATTTCAGAGGCTGAGGCAGGAGGATCACTTGAGGCTAGTTCAGGACCAGCCTGGGTGACATAGCAAGACAAAAAATTTAAAAATTAGCCGGGTGTGGTGGCTACTCAGAAGGCTGAGGCAGGAGGATCTCTTGAGCACAGGAGGCGGGACGTACAGTGAGCCGTGATCATGCCGCTGCACTCTAGCCTCGGCGATCTTTCTAGACTATTGAGATGTGCCCACGTAGTGTACATGACACTCCTCACTGCCCTTCTGGGATCAGTGCCCTGTGCAAACCCCAGGCAGACCACAGGGGTCCTTGCCGGAAGCCCAGTTAGGATGAGTCCTGGCAGTTTCCCGCCTGTTTGCTTCTGCGTCCACTTGGCTTGAGGTGGACGGCCAGCTTGTCGTCTCCACTGTTGTTGGGGTCACGGCGAGCAGCCGTCCCATCTTGGAAGAGCTTCTCACCACAGGAGGGCAACACAGGGGTCCATAGCGAGGTAGAAGATTCTTGACCTGGACTTCAGGGTCCTGACCTGGCAGGGGTCTCCCCTGATGCTTCAGTGTGACACAACCTCCCTCTCCACCAACCTTCCTGCAGTGACAGCTCCCAGTGGCGTCCTCGATGTCACCGTGGTCTACCTGAACCCAGAACAGCATTGCTGCCAGGAATCCAGTGATGAGGAGCCTTGCCCAGAGGACGAGGGGCCCCAGGACCCACAGGTGTTGGCGCTGGACACCTGGATCCCTGCAGTCCCAGGACCCGAGTCCCCGCTCCGCACCAGCCAACAGCCAGGGAAGGACATCACGACCTCAGGGTACTCCTCTGTCAGCACCGCGAGTCCCACAAGCTCTGTGGACGGCAGCTTGGGGGTCCTGCCCCGATCTACCTCAGTGCTGTCTCTGGACAGTGACTCGCACACACAGCCCTGCCACCATCAGGCCAGGAAGTCATGTTTACAGTGTCGTCCCCCAAGTCCCCCGGAGGGCAGTGTTCCCCAGCAACAGGTGAAGCGGAAAAATCTATGTGTGCACAGTGAGGAGGAAGGCATGAACTGGGGCTTGTGAGGCTGTGAGGACGTCAGCGTGTGTGTCGCGGTGGATGTGTACTGGGGGGGCTGCGAGCCAGGGGTGGGAGCACAACATAGGATTGCTGTTTAGACACCGGCGGCCTTTGCACAGAGCAGAGAGGGTGACTTGTGGCCACCAATTTTCTTTCTCCGTGGAAGTCACGTGAGTCATCAGAATGTCCAAATGAGCGTGAAGAGCTCAGATCCATCTCTTTGGAAAGTTTAGCCTCAAAGCAGACAGCCGCACTGCGTGGAGGGCACCTCTCTGTCCTTCCTGTGTCCCACTGTCTCTGGAAACTTCAGCCTGTATGTGTCCTGGTCTTCCCAGCCCCACCAGAGCCCCGTACCGGGAGCTGACAGCTTTCACTCAGAGCACATGTGCCCTGGGTAGTCAGACACCACTCGAGCCCCTGCCCATGTCTGTCTGGTTTGGGGCCCCAGTGGGGAGTTGACAGCTCGGAGCATACCACTGTCCCTTCAGTGTGTCCCCTCATCCACCTTGTCCTGTGTGGGCACCCACTTCCTTCTGGCTAGGGATTCTGTTGCCAGAGCGCCTGTGTGCCTGCACACTGCGTGGATTGCCTTTGGCCACAGTCCTACTCCCTAAGACATGTTAGTCATTTTAGAGCTCTGTCCCAGAGGCGTTTGACCCACAGATGGTGTCAATGTGAACACCTCTCTTTGTGCTGAATTTGTGGGCCATTCTTTTCCTGTCTTTATTTCTTTATTTCTTTTTTTTTTTTTGAGACGGAGTTTCGCTCTTGTTACCCAGGCTGGAGTACAATGGCACGATCTCAGCTCACTGCAACCTCCGCCTCCTGGGTTCAGGCAATTCTCCTGCCTAGGCCTCCTGAGTAGCTGGGATTACAGGCACGTGCCACCATGCCCAGCTAATTTTTTGTATTTTTAGTAGAGACGGGGTTTCACCATGTTGACCAGGATGGTCTCGATCTCTTGACCTTGATCCACCCGCCTCGGCCTCCCAAAGTGCTGGGATTACAGGCTTGAGCCACCGCGCCCGGCCTTCCCGTCTTTATTTCTAAATTTTCTTCCTCTAAGATGCAAACAAGAAAAACTTAAAACAAAGGGTATTAAAAATAAGATTCCCACTATTGTTTAGCCTTAATTGCAAAACAAAAATCTTACTCCAGCCCCTCAATGCCATCCTGACACTCTTTATGCAAAAAGAATTTTCCAGAGAGGCTAACCAGAAAAAACTTGAAGTCCTCTGTAACATCTGAGGTGACCGAGAGCAGACGAGCAGAGCAGTCTGGGGCCATGTCCTGGCCGATCCCAGCTGCAGCTCTGCTCTGGGCACCCGTGGGAGGGAGGCAGATGCTCTAGCCTTTCCTGCTGGCCATGGAGACTCTGGTCTTGAATGAAAAGGGAGACTGGGAGACAGCAGCCCATGCCTGGGGAGCCTGCCTCCAGCCAGGTGACTGTGGCCTGTCCCCGGGGCTGGGCTGACCACAGCACACTCACCCTGCTGCCATCCTCTTCTGTTTCCTCTGGAAATGTAAGAAGTGTCCCCCAGATGCTTTTTTTGTTTTTTTTTTTTTTTAAGACAGAGTTTTGCTCTTGTCACCAAGGCTGGAGTGCAGTGGCATGATCTCAGCTCACTGCAGCCTCTGCCTCCCAGATTCTCCTGCCTCAGCCTCCCGGGTAGCTGGGATTACAGGCACCCAACCATGCCTGGCTAATTTTTGGATTTTTAGTAGAGTCAAGGTTTCACCATGTTGGCCTGGCTGGTCTTGAACTCCTGACTTCAAGTGATCCCCCAATTTGGCCTCCCAGAGTGCTGGAATCAGAGGCATGAGCCATCATACCTTGGCCCTCAAATGCTCTTGAACCAGAAACCCAGGACTGGGAGGTGCTCACTGAGTGACTACTTTTCTGTGTGTTTGTGTCTGAGGCAGCTGTCTTTTTGCTACTAGAAGGGAATTCTGGCCACCCTGGGTGGGGCATGTTTGGGGTGAGAAACCAAGCGTTGGAAGTGTAGACCTGCCCTGTTGGCTGTGTGCCCCTGGGCATGTGTGGGCCTCAGTTTCCTCATTTGTAAGAGGCAGCCATGATACCTACCTCACAGGGGTGTTGTGAGGATTAAATGAGAGGAATATAGTGGCAGATGAGTGATGGACATCCTTTGCTGCCTCGGCCCCTTTTCTGGGGGCTCTTCTGTCAAAATCCCAACTCTGGATGGTGAAAGAGGCAACTACTCTGGGGGGACCTGGCACTGCCTGCCTGTGGTGGGCTCCTGCATCTCAAGTGCTGACTCAACCTTTCCCAGCCTCCTCCTTCAGAGAATCTCCAGGGAGGCAGGGCCACTGGCAGCCTCCCCACCGCTGACAGTGGCCCACCCCCAGGAATGGCCCAGAGCTGCCTGAGTCCCAACCTCCCTGACAACCCTGTGCCCTCTGCGATGGCACCTTCCCATGAACAACTATGGAACAGACTCACCTGTCCCATCTTTAAATGACACCTCCAGGTCTGTCCTCTCTCCAGCTACCGCCTGGGATTTCTTCGCCCCCTATTTTATTTATTTATTTATTTATTTAATTTTGAGACAGTTTTATTCCTCTTGCCCAGGCTAGAGCACAATGGTGTGATCTCTGCTCACCACAACCTCCGCCTCCCAGATTCAAGTGATTTTCCTGCCTCAGCCTCCCAAGTAGCTGGGATTACAGGCATGTGCCATCATGCCCGGCTAACTTTGTATTTTTAGTGGAGATGGGGTTTCTCCATGTTGGTCAGGCTGGTCTCGAACTCCCAACCTCAGGTGATAAGCCCACGTCTGCCTCCCAAAGGGCTGGGGTTTCAGGAGTGAGCCGCCACACCCGGCTTTATTGTTTATTCTTTTTTTTTTTCTTCTTTTTTTAAGAGGGGGTTTCACCATTTTGGTCAGGCTGGTCTTGAACTCCTGACCTCTGGTGATCCGTCCGCTTTGGCCTCCAAGTGTTTGAATTACAGGCGTGAGCCACCACGCCCGGCCTGTTGTTTATTCTTAACTCCAACTATGTGGAGCCCTGCTGTCCTGCTCACTTCCACCGTAGGCGTCCCCTGTGTCACTGAAGGCCCTGTCCTCCCATGCTGTGTACACTGCCTAGGCCTCAGCAGTGCTTGGCCTGTGGCCCACTCCCTCCTGCCACTGCCTCTTGTTGCCTCTGTGACACTGTCCTACTGCTGCACCTCCCTGGCCGTTGCATGGGCCCCATATTCCGTGGCTCACCTGACCCTACCCGAGCCTCCTACCCCGCCAGGAGCCACCTTGCCAGGCCCACTGCACCAGGGTCTGAGCTTCCTCCCCTCTACCCAGTGCTAGCACGTCACGTATCCAAAAGTGAACATTTCTCCTCCCTCATCCCTGCTCCTGACGCGCCATCTTCATCTCCAGCAACGCTGTCCTGGCCCTGTTGCCCTGTGGCCCGGCGTCAGCAGGACGGCTGATCCCTGCGTTAGAGCACTTTGAGTAAGAACAGATGGAGCCGCTCTTATAACCTGCACAGGTGCCCTGCAAGGGGAGCGCGAGAAGGGCGCCCCCGTCTACCCAGTTACCCAAACCAAAAGCCCGGAGTCGCCTGCAGTTCTCTCCCTGGCGGCCTCGGGACCCAGCTCCGAGCGGGAGTCCCCACCAGACTTAGCGGGCAGGAGTGGGCGGGGCTTGAGGCTGGCCCGTAATGGGGGAGAGAAAGCTTCGGGGGGACGGACCCCGAAACCTGGTTCAGGATTGGGCAGCCCGTCCGGGAAGGGGCGGCCTTCCCGCCCGGAAGAGGCGTGGCTCTTCGGAGGCGGCAAATTGCAAGGAGACGCCGCCGCCTTCATGCTGCCCCGGGATTGTTCGGGCCGGTGAGGCCTGCGCGGCCTGCGCGGTGGGAGGGAGCGGGCAGGCGGGCAGGTGGGCAGGCGGGCAGGCATGGGGCCCGAGGCCTGACGCTAACAGACGTGCTGAGCTGCCGGTGCGTCCCACAGGCTGGTGGCCGAGCTGCAGGGCGCCCTGGACGCCTGCGCAGAGCGACAGCTGCAGCTGGAGCAGAGCCTGCGCGTCTGTCGTCGGCTGCTGCAGGCCTGGTAGGTGGACCCCGGGACCCCCGGGCCAGACCTCCCTCGGCCCCTCAGAATCCTGCAGCGAGCCCCCGGGACTGGGAGGTAGGGCCCAGCCGCCTACTTCCGAACTGCAGGTTGTCAGTGCCACCCCCCCTTACCCTGCAAGCTCTGAGCTGGGGGCCTGCGGTGGGTCCCGACGGCCCCCTCGGGTCTTTAGGGGCTGGGCCCTGCCTCCTGGCTGTGCAACCGCTGCCCATGTCTTCGCAGGGAACCAACCGGGACCCGGGCTTCGGAGCCACCTCCAGGGCCAGAAACTAATGAAGAGGACCCGCCCCCAGGTAAACCTCCACCGCCACCTTCCCCAGGTGCTGCTCCAGCCTGTCTTTTAGCGTGCAGTTGTGACGGACCCTCCTGGGGACAGTGAGGAGGGATCACTGCATAATTTTTGGCTTTCGCAGCATGCACACCCAGTCCACAAGACCTCAAAGAGCTGGAATTTCTGACCCAGGCACTGGAGAAGGCTGTACGGGTTCGAAGAGGCATCACCAAGGCTGGAGAAACAGACAAGGTCCCCAGCCCGAGATCTAGGTCCACTGTCGCTCCTCCTGGCACGATAGCCTTTGCCCCACCCCAGAACCCAGGCCGAGCTGGTGGCCGTGCTTCAGACGCGAGACCCACCAAAGGCCCCTGCCAGACCACGGTGCCTCCCAAGGGCCACTCTGAGCGCCAGCTGCTGTCACTGGGGCATAAGACTCGTGTCGGGACAGGAGCTCGGGCCCCCAGGCCTGGACCGGGCCTCAGGGACCAGCAAATGGCCCCATCAGCTGCTCCTCAGGCCCCAAAAGCCTTCACACTCAAAGAGAAGGGGTAGGTTTCCCTGACCTTCACTGTGGGGAACATCTGTCTCTGCCTGCTTAGACCCTGGCTAGCAAGGAGTCTGGGATTTGGGGTGACAGGGAGGGCAGGGCATTAGCGGCATTGAGCCCTGGGTGCACCTCTGAGGCTTGTACTGGAAGCTGGCAGAATGAAGCAGCTGTGTGTCAGTGTCCGGGTTGGTACCTTCAGGATGGGAAGTACCGGAGCTTGTCCTGCCCTCCTCTGTGGCTGTCCACTTAATCCGCTCAGAGGCTCCAGGTGGGCTCTGGCAGGCGTGGGCTCTGCTCACGGGGCCCCCTCTTCTCTCTACTGGGGCAGCATTGGACCTCGCAGCTCCCATGGCCACCCTGGAAGCCCTGTCCAAGGGGGCTTATCCTTAGTGGGGTCAGGCATGGGAGAGGGGCCAAGAAGCTTCATCCCTGATTGGGCTCTGACCGGGAGATGGGACTTGTCGATCCCAGAGCAAAGCAAGGCTCCTCTGAACACAGGCTTCTCTGACAGGCACCTGCTGCGGCTGCCTGCGGCATTCAGGAAGGTGGCTTCCCAGAACGCAAGGTGAGGCTAGGTCTTTGGCTGGGCAGGGGCAGAGGAGAACCGGGAGGCATCACCAGCTCGGGGACAGGTTTGAGACACTTTCCAGCGGGTGTCTCTGCTCTCTTTGCTGAGTGGGGTCACTGTGACGTTAAAACTCTGTCAGCTGGTCAGCTCTATCCCAGTGTCCTCTTGGTTTCCTGCGGCCTCTAGAGGTCC